GAACCATGTTGCTCAAGGGGGAGAGAGACTGACTCAGAGGGGCTTAGCCTCAGCTCATATGCTGTGCCCCTTACCCGAGTATGTGCCCTTCATTTCAGATGAGGTCTGATGATGGTCCAATGAAGTCCGGAGGACTTCCAGAGGCTGGCTACTCTGCTGGAGAGCGCTAGAGGACTTCTGGTGAAGCATGGGAAACATCCGGAGGAGCACGGGAGAGTTCTGGAGGAATGCAGGAAGTGCTCAGGAGAGTTCCCACTGCAAGGTAAGACTTCTACAGGAAACAGGATGGAAGGATAGGAGGTCTAAAGGTCTGGAGGACAGGAGGACAGGAGGACAGGAGGACAGGAGGACAGGAGGACAGGAGGACAGGAGGATAGGAGGGCAGGATGACGGAGGACAGAAGGACAGGATGTCCAAAGGTACAGAGGTGTTAAGAACCATGCTCAAAGGAGAGAGAGACTGACTCAGAGGGGCTTGGCCTCAGCTTGTACGCTGTGCCCCTTACCCAAGTATGTGCCCTTCATTTCAGAGGAAGTCCAATGATGGTCTGACGAAGTCCAGAGGAGCACGGGAAACGTCCGGAAGAGCGTGGGAGAGTTCCGGAGGAATGCAGGAAATGCTCAGGAGAGTTCCCACTGCAAGGTAATACTTCTACAGGAAAACAGGATGGAAGGATAGGAGGTCCGGAGGACAGGAGGACAGGATGTCCAAAGGTACGGAGGGCGGAACATCCGAAGGACAGGATACCCGGAGGTATGAGGGACAGGATGTCCGGAGGTCCAGAAGGAATAGGGGCTACATTGGACAAAGTCTGATGTAGAAGCAAACAGAGGTAGACTACCCTAAGGTAGAGTTGGTGGATTTAAGTCTGGAAAGAGGGTAAGTGCTGGAAAGGCAAGACTCTAGCCTAGGGAAGCAATCCCTAGACTTGGGACAGAGACATAGGGGACAAATCCGAAGGTCTGGAATTCCGGCCTAGGGAATCCTTCCCTAGGCCTTATGGAAAAGGACGAGACTCAGACAGACTGAAGTCCAGAAGATGATTGGCAAGTGGAACAGGATCTAAGATGATATTCAGACTGTGGACTCTACTGTAGTTGTACAGGGGTTATATACTAGAGGCTATCTGAGAGGATCTGTAAGCAAAGGAGTAAGGCTATGTACGAGCATGTGGAAACACATTGGTAAGTAAGATGGAACATAACTAAATGAACTCGGAGATGAAACTAGTACAAGGATCAATCAGCAAGATGGAAACAGAGATAACCGAGAACCGGAAAGGTGGAGATGCCTAAATGGGGATAGGTGCAGGATCTCGGATAGAGGGCAGGAATAGGTCCGGAGATAGTAACAGTTAATATCTGGAGGTCCGGAGATCTGGGGATCTGGAAGGCAGGGTGGAAACAGGACTGAGATATGTGAGGTGGTGGATGTAGTCCGGAATCTGAGAGGAGGTAAAGTCCAGATGTCTTGCTGGATGGAATGTGTGTAGGGTGGACAGGATAGGGGATCCAGGAATGAGTTGGATATGGGGTCTGGAAACAGGTCCAGAAAGCGTGGGAATATGATGGGATCTATGTCTGGCATACAGGATATGACAAGAGGGCAGGATGTCCGAAGGACCAGAGGATAGGATGTCTGAGGGTTAGGAGGACGGAATGTCCAAAGGTACAGAGGGCGGAACGTCTGAAGGACAGGATGCCCAGAGGTACGAGGGACAGGAGGTCTGGAGGTCCAGAAGGAATAGGGGCTACATCGGACTTCATCTGATGTAGAAGCAAACAGAGGTAGACTACCCTAAGGTAGAGTTGGAGAGACAGGGATTGGACCTAAGTCCAGAAAGAGGGAAAGTGCTGGAAAGATGGAGCTCCGGCCTAGGGAATCAATCCCTAGGCCTGATGGGTAGGACAGACTTAGGTGGACCAAAGTCCAAGAGAGGATTGGGCAACTCTAAGTTGATATTCAAACTAGGGAACTACAGGAGTATCTACAGGGGTTATATACTGAACAATATCTGAGGGGATCAGTAAGCAAAGGAGCAAGGCTATGTATGAGCATGTGGAAACACATTAGTAAGTAAGATGGAACATGGACAGGATAGGGTTGTACGGATCAGGCTAGCAGTGAGGATCCAATGGTCCAGAGCTCAGGGGTAAATCCGGAGTGTAGTCGATCCTGCTGAGGTGTGGAGCACAGTGGAAGAGGATCTTGGAATGAGCTAGATATGATGTGGGGTCCGGATGTAGGTTCGGAAGGCATGGGAATATGATGGAACATGGGTCTAGATTGTGGGATATGACAAGAGCAAAACAAACTGCCTCCAAGGTTGGCATCTCAAGTAAGCCTTGCTGTTGATTGTTTTTCCAATTGTGCCTGTAGTTGTGTACAGTTGCGAAGTCAACTCGCAAACCACCTTAATGGTGTCCCACCGAGCCTCCATGTCATCCAACAATGCAAGGTCCAGCTTCCACAAGACTTCTTGATCCTGTTAAGGTCGTACTCAAAGGTAACTGGATCTGAAGGGCTTCAGCCTCAGCTCATGCGCTGTGCCCCTTACCCAAGTATTGCCCCTTATTTCAGGAAGGCAAGACTAGCATGTCCGGAAGGTCGGACAAGTAGCGTAACGGATCCAGATGACTTCCGGATAAGGGATAAGTATCGTAGGGCTAATCCGGATGAGTCTAGACTAGAAACTAATGGTAATGGACTGTCGGGGACAGAGGCGGATACGGATAGACTATAGGAATCAATCCTAAGTCTCGGAGGGTGACGAGAGTAGAGGTACTCAAGTCTGGAGGACAGGAATGAGCAGAACTAAGATGATATTTGAACTGAGGTACTACAGAAAGTTACAGGAGGTTATATACTATAGGTATCTAATGGAATGATCAATCAGCAGAGTCCGAGGCTATGTACGAAGCATGTGGATAGTCTATTGGTAAGTAGAAACGGATCACAAATCATGAAACAGAAATGAAACATAGGTAGTGGATAAGGGAGCAGGATGGATATACAGATAACTGAACTACCAGAGTTAGGGGGTTACTGAAAGGAGATGAGCACTGGTTGTGGATTCAGATGAGTTGTGGACTGGACTGGACGAGTGGAACAGATTGGATGACGAGATGTTGGAGGGAGATAAGATGTGGATCTGAGATGAGATAAGGGTCGGATCTGAGATCCAGATATGCGGATATGACAGATCCTTTATGGGGTGTGTGGAGTTGTGAGCACTCCAAGTGCAAACCACTGCTCCACTGTTTGCTGCCATAACTTTATCTCACTTCCTCTGGGCAACAGCACCACATGTGGTGTTAAAAAACAATGAGAAGATGTCTTCCAATATGTGCAGTTTGGGGCTGGTATTGCTGCTGGTAGTGCTGACCTCTGCAGGGCCCTCACCACCACTAGTACCTCCACTTCCAGACTCCTCATTTGCCCCACTATTCTCCTCCCTGTCTCCACCCTCTTCAAGATCAGGTAACTAAATGATGCTGGGTTCATGATGTGATTTTGGAAGGGCCCAGTTCCATCTACAGTTCTCTTTGTCATACAATGGAACCATGGAATGTTCATTGAGGTGAGCAAATTTATTGTGAAGTCTGGTGTCACAATAACAAATTTTATGTAATGGCACCTGGAGCTCTGTAGCATCTGGGACTTCAAGGGTAAATGTCTTGAAAATCCATGCCAACATATGACTGAGAGGCTAGACAGCATCAGCTGGTTCTTCCTCTTCCATGATTAAATGATTTAGCTTGAGATCAGTGAGTTTGTCCAGCATAGGCACATCACTGACATGGGGAGCCAGCATCAATGATGCCAACTTTATCCAAAAGTCTATGGTTTTGCTGTGTTCTATGGGTGCCATAACTGAGATGTCAATGGTATTCTACAACAGAGTCCCCAAGTACATAGTGTATCTTTTAGGCTACAAAAATGATTCTTATCAAGTATAAACTTCATACCAGTACTGCTACTCAGATAAGGCAAAAAAGGTTTGTTTGTCCCAAAAATAATTTAACCAAAACTCCATTGCATGCTCCATGCTATTATACACCATGAGATGCATGTCTGCAGTAGCACCAAGATATGGAACAAGGTGGATGGGTGCTCTAAGTTGAGACACTGGAATAATGTTGCCCATCTGTGTACCATTAGAGCACTTCACTCTTTTCAGTGTATGCAACTGAGTGGTCGGATCACACTCACTGGAGATATTGAACAATTGGATATAGACTAAGAATTGATCTTCCCATGCCAATTGTGTCCCACATCTGCCAAGAGGCCAAATGATGAGGCTAATCTGGGCAATGGAGTGCCATGCAGGGGATCATTCTTTAGCTTAGTTTGAATATTGTTATTTAAAACAGGAAGAATGTACCTGAAAGGCTGCTGGCAGGCCAGGAGTGCCCTGAGCTAGTCTGAATAATAACCATATCATAATGACCTAAGGTCCCAGGACCACTAGGTGGTGCACAATTAAGCATCTGAGCAGGTTGAATACCATGGGGATCATGAAACTCAGTCTCCTGCAAACAAGTTTTAAACCACACTTGAACTTGGTCAAATGGAAGCTCATTGTCATGTACAGCCCTTCTAGGACCACCTATTGAGTGGATGTGATTGCCATAGGTCACCTCATGGTGAAGAAAATCAGCAAGAGCCAGTTACAAGTCAGGCAGGCCAAACATAATAGCAATTTCATCAACAGTAGCATACTTGATAGATGGATGGTAAGCAAGATTGAGAGCAGTGTGCCTAATGACAAAAGAACAAAGTGGGACAGGTACCGATCCAATTTCCTTCTCTTGGAGTATTTTGGCGATCAAAAAGTAATTTGTGATAGGATGTGGTTGTCCAGGTCTTTGACTCAGGGACAGTAGCTCCACAGGAAAGTCATTCATGTCTTCATCAATCTCCTCATCCTCCTCAGCATTGTCCTCCCAAACAACTCCTGAGTCCTCTGAACGATCTAACAGGCTAGTAGTGAGGTCAAATCAATTGCACTTATTAGCACAATCAAGATAGTGACAGATTTGTGGATCATAGTCATTGTTATTGCTAGCCCTTGCAGGGTCCTTGACCTCAGTGATGTGTGCATGCTCGGTAACATCTGCAAACCACTGTGCTATAATGCCAGAATTGCAGATGCTGGGGACAACACTCTGCATAAGCTTGAGTTTGGTAATCTGCCAGTTGTCAATGACTTTACCACCTTTTCCTTGATAAACACCAGCAGTGATGATTGCATCCTTGTTCGCATGGAACTCATCTAGTGTGGCTGTGATGTGACTGAGATCCTCATCATCAATGCATGGTGATTGTACAAGGTAACAAAAGTGCATGAGTGTGCATACAGCAACAATAACACTGGGAGGTGCTGCATCCATGCTGACTGTGATGATTGAGTGCTGGATGTCTTGGTGGCAATGTCTGGTAACCTGCTTGAGTTTTGAGATGCCTGCATAGAAGTGCCAATAACCAGTAGTTGGCTGTGTAATTGAAAATTGGAAATCAATCTCAGGCCCTCCCACTGCAAGGATAATCCACTGCACATCATGGTCCAAAAACTCCTTGTGAATGTGGTGCAGTGATTCAGGCATAAAAAATGGAAGGGTTCTGCTAACAGCCAGTCCCACCAAAATGATTTATCCACACCATTTAGGCAAAACTTCTGCACTTCATGGAAGAATTCCTTGAGATCATCTGGATGAGCATGTGAACATACAATTTCCAGTTGCCCAAGAGTCTTTGACCATGTCCAGGGTTCATGGTGGAAGGTGTCCCCGAATTGTTTGTACATTGCTATGGTCACTGGGGACATCTTTCCACCAATGCATGCTAGCATCATGGCTTCAGGAGTGTTGGCAATATAACTAGCAAGTATGGTAAAGCAGTAATGACTGCGACCAATGGGATCTGACAACATGACACCATATTGAGCAGCCAACTTGAGCAGTTCTAGTATGACATTCAAGCAATGATGAACAAGTCAATCTTGCAACATGCCTCTCATTCATTTGTTCTTGTGAATGAATTTTGAGACTGGTAGTAAGGCAGTGAGAAGGAAAGTGTTTGATGATGATTTGAGCCACATAGCCATGTGGATATTGGTGAGACTGATAAGGAGAGTGTTAAGGTTATACTCAAGGGCTAATGGATCCCAAGGGCTTTGGCCTCAGCTCATGTGCTGTGCCCCTTACCTGAGTATTGCCCCTTATTTCAGAAGGACAAGACTAACACATCTGGAGGGTTGGATGAGTAGCATAGTGGATCCAGATGACTTCCAGATGCAGGATAAGTATCATAGGGCTAATCTGGACAAGTCCAGACTAGAAAATAATGGTAGTGGACTGTCATAGACAGAGGTGGATGCAGATAGACTTTAGGAATCAATCCTAAGTCTCAGAGGGTGATGAGAGTAGTGGTACTCAGGTCTGGAGGACAGGAATGAGCAGAACTAAGTTGATATTCAAACTGAGGTGTTACAGAGATTTACAGGAGGTTATATACTATAGGTATCTAATGGAATGATCAATCAGCAGGGTCTGAGGCTATGTATGAAGCATATGGATAATCTATTAGTAAGTAGAAACAGTGTAGAGACTCACTCCTCTATATCACCGCTACTGGACAATATACCACCCCTTTCCACTGATACTCTGGTTCTGATCCTCTGGATAAGACACTCGCACTATCGCACGCTGATGTGTGACCACTGTGTGCATGTGAATGCGCTTGCACGTCCTGTGCACCTGCTCTAGGTCCTCCACTACAGTCCATCCACCCATCCATGTCCTCACTAAAGTCCACTGGTGTGTTTTTATCATACTCTTATCGCTCTGACATACCTTCCGGGCTGATTATAGTGCTATAAATGTGCAAGCACACACTCAAAACACTATTACATACAGATATTGCTACCTACTTGCTTCACCTCCACGCTACAAGCGTTGCCTAGTGCCCAATATAGAGAAGGGACTGAGAGTTTTTTAGAGTACCTTATCCTAGTACCTCCCACCTCTGTGTAGTAGCAGTAGTTTGCACATTTGAGCCAGTTTGAAAGCACTAAGAATTGGAACTCGCGTGCTACCTTCATAGACATGATTGCCTCTAGTCAGCTCAATTCTCTCTCCACTGGATTTCATTTCCAGATAGCTCTAGCACCTACACTTTAGACCCCCATCGCATCCACTCTCACTTTCTATCACATCAGCATGCTTTCATGCGTGTCTTCTTCGTGCTTATTCCAGTATTCGCACTTCACACATCCTATAGTGCCTGTTCAGTTTCGAAGTCTCCCTCAGTCATTTTGAGGACCTTCTCTCAGTAGCTGTCCTTAGGGTCAAGTTCTGTCTTGCATCCAGGTCTTGCTTTAGTTTCCCCCATAGTCCAAAGTCCTCACCCACAACTGGAGCCCACCGCAAGGGTTTCTTGTGTTTCTAGGCTCTTTATGCTCACCAACAATCCCCCAAAGTCACCTTTTACCCAACCATAGTCATTCATTACCAGCTTCTCCCATATTCCCCCAGTTTTCAGCCTCTCCTCCTACCATCGCACTGATAGGCCCTTTTCCCACGCACGTCTGGACCAAGCCTCTCGCAAACTTAGAGCTGTATTCCCCTCGTCCAGGCCGTCATTTTGAGCCCTGGGTCATCAGTTTTGGAGCAGTAGTTGTGGAGATATCGAGTTTTTCGCATTTTGAGAAGTTGAGGAGAGATAAGGACTTTCTGGGAGTACCAAGGCCTGTCTCATCTAGCTCTCCTGGCCATCCACCTTCACTCAGTGGCTCTATCCATCACCCCAATCAGCTTTTTGATAGGCCCAGCCCTTGTTGTCCTGCACCATACCCCCTCCTCCTCCTCCTCCTCCTCCCTTAGTGCACTCCTCCCATAATTCTGCTCTCACCAGCCCATTTCTCATCATGCACCCCTCAACCCTATACTCATTCTGACCATGTTGATCACCTCTTTCCATCCTGCCTATCCACTCCTCGATACATCCACACCCTCGCCCACTATCTGCACAGGATACAGGTAGAAGGATATATCTAAATGGACTATAGCCCTAAAAGTCCGATACATCTTTAAGTCTAGTTATCCACCCAGCTGGGATATATCCATTCTCACCAGATATCACAGCCGCATTTTTCGCATTTTTGAAACTCAGCTATTTTTCAAATGTCAGGATACATTCCAGATTTGGTAGGGGATATATTCCTATGGTATGACCGCAATTTTGACATCCAAAAGCGGAAATTCACAAAACACATCCTATTTTGGTCACTTCCTCATATCAGGGCTTCCCCACATTATTCCCACACTCCGCACTTTCGCATTTTTCAGCCACACAGTGTGGGAATTACACCACAACACCCAAAACATCACCCAATATGGTATACCCCACAATTTCAATTATTCCCACACCCTCCCCACCTCACTGCAGCTTCACCACCACACCACAATAGCTCCCCCTTCATATATAAGTAGTAGTTTGGCATATATGTGTATAATATAATATAATAGACCACTTTTTTGATTATTTGTGTGCCTGCTCCTCCTCCAGGGCCCTTCTAACATAGCCTAGAGTACAGAACATTTTCGCACTTTTGCCCCTTTGATGAGGAGATGTTCTATGATATTCAAGACATATTTAATAGTGCATATGAATAGATTCCCTCACTTGCTTGACCCCCTGAAGCACCCTACATCAATAGATATAGCCTATATATAGGAAAACACAAAATATGTTCCCATTTATTTATTTCTGAGTGGATATACTTGTAAAATGTATCCACAACATCTATTCATCAGTAGGAACAATGTATCAGGAGTCCAGGACCATAGGACAAAACCCTGTGATGCAGTATATCCACCCTCTCCTGGTGGTTTACCCCCTGTGAAAAATTTTCCTGTAGGACCGGACCTCAAGGATGGTAAGGGGTTTATTTCTATGCATATTTAGAGTATATCTGTCACCTAGCTACCACAGGAAATCTATAGGGTCCTTCAACAGGAACAAAAATATGGAAAATCGCATTTTTGACTTTTTGGATGTTTTTTAGTATCTTACCATTGCACATATGATCCAACCTGCTTATATATAATCAGTTGTGCATATATATATATGCTTTTTATGCCAAAGATCAGTTCAAAATAGGCCGGAGGTTTGAGCTAGTGTGCATACTTGCTATTTCTACTGATAAGGGGCTCATACCTTCAAAACATCGAACTTTAATAATCAGACACCTGGAATACACTTCTAATGTATTAAGTATCATAGATCTCAAGTTTAAGAAAGATCCATTCAGCATTGAGTGAAAGGGGAGCAAAGGAACATATGTGTGAAAAGTGACAATTGACACATTTCACACAAAGTCACATTTACATATGTTGCAGGTCAAAGATTTCATTAAATTTTAATAGGATATATGTTAGACTACACAAGGAACCTATACTACACTTCGCCCTGAGGGTGGCAGATATGTGGAAGGGATGTGGTGGTAAAGTAAGTTGATGTAGCATTAAAGTCCTATAACTAACTGAACTGACCATTTTCGATGTTTTGGGTCTCTGAGTTTCCCACACTCAATTTCTTATCTATTTCACTTCCTCAGCACTCAGTTCTTGTTTTATCATTTAGAAAATTAAGATCTATGATACTTAATACATTTGAAGTGTATTCCAGGTGTCTGATTATTAAATTTCGATGTTTTGAAGGTATGGGCCCATTATCAGCAGAAATAGCAAGTATACACACTAGCTCAAATCTCTGGCCTATTTTGAGCTGATCTTTGGTATACAAAGCATATATATATGTATAACTGATGATATATGAGCAGGCTGGATCATATGTGCAATGGTGAAATACTTAAAAACATCAAGAATGTCAAAAATGCGATTTTCCATATTTTTGTGCCTGTTGAAGGATCCTATAGGTTTCCTGTGGTAGCTAGGTGATAGATATGCTTTAAATATGCTTAGGAATAGACCCAGAACTCTCTTTGAGATCCGGTTCTACAGGAAAAAATTTCACAGGGGGTAAACCACCAGGAGAGGGGGGGTGCACTATGCAACAAGGTATTCTCCTATGGTCCTGGGCTCCTACTAGATTGTTCCTATTGTTGAATAGATGCTGGGAGTCATTTTTCCAAGTCTATTCAGCTATAAATAATCACATGGTAACATATTTTGTGTTTTCATGTATATATACTATATCTATTGATGTAGGGCGCTTCAGGGGGTCAAATAAAGATGAGAGTCTCTTCATATATACTCTAAAATATGTTCTAAATACCCTAGAAAACTTCCCTATCAAAGGGGCAAAAGTGCGAAAATGTTCTGTACTCTAGGCTATGTTAGAAGGGCCCTGGAGGAGGAGCAGGCACACAAATAATCAAAAAAGTGGTCTATTATATTATATTATACACATATATGCCAAACTACTACTTATATATGAAGGGGGAGCTATTGTGGTGTGGTGGTGAAGCTGCAGTGAGGTGGGGAGGGTGTGGGAATAATTGAAATTGTGGGGTATACCATATTGGGTGATGTTTTGGGTGTTGTGGTGTAATTCCCACACTGTGTGGCTGAAAAATGCGAAAGTGCGGAGTGTGGGAATAATGTGGGGAAGCCCTGATATGAGGAAGTGACCAAAATAGGATGTGTTTTTGTGAATTTCCGCTTTTGGATGTCAAAATTGCGGTCATACCATAGGAATGAGTGACCAGTCCCCTGTTACTCATCCGAAAAATTTCAGTTCTCAGAAGTTGCGTCACTTCAAGGTATGAGCATCGCTCCTTCAAGCCTATGCAAGACCCTGAGGAGCCCATCTTCATTACTAATCTCTGTTCCAACAGTTATTCCTGCACTGACATGGCCATCTGGCAATGTCTTGCCTCCATGGCCAACACTGCATCTCAATGTTCTCCATGTATGTTATCAATGTCCTCGTTGTTCAATTTCTAACTTATCCACAGTACTATCACAAACTCACTGTCGCCACAATACTCTGGCCTCCTCATTCACTCATTCAATATCAACTATGCGAACACTTACGATGCCACCTGCCTATGAAGGACTGTCGACCTGCATCACATACTTACATCGTCACATCACACATGTAGTCTCGTTATCAATAAAAATTGCCCTGCTGGCCATTGTATCATTCATGCTCCACTACTCCAAGTCTACAGCTCCATGCAGTGTACTGAAAGTGCTTAGTTGTTGTCAGGTGGGAGAGATATGCAGATGTACTGCGGACACCAGGGGAAGTGCGGCACTAAAAGATGGGGAACATGCTCAATAATCTGCAACATGTGCACCCACAGTTAGTGCAGAAGTGAGAGTGCTGAACGTTGATACTGGACTGACAGCAGAACTGGACATCAGCATTGAGTCAGGAATGAGTTTGGGTTGAGGCTCGACAGACAGAGAGGTGAGATGAATGCATGCAAAGCTTGCATTGCCCTGTGAGGGCAAGGACTTTGCATGTCTCACTGAAAACTGTTTGAGTATTCTGGAAAAAACTCGAATATACTGGTATCACTTACCATGTTGAGCAAGAGCACATTTTGTGCGGTAAGCATGGGTAGATAGACAGTCACTGGAGTTGATGCCAAATGCATTGAAAAGGTCCAGACCAGTGCTGATATTTTCATCATAGTGAAATCCTCGCATGATTCCTCCCAATAGTGTAAGACCCACACCATCACGGTTGACATTCCTGTGTGCTTGCTCATTGCTGTTTGTAGTAGTCGGCAAGGCCTTCCAGATTTCAAGTGGAATAAGACTGTTGGGCTGATAGAGTGCTGGGAGTGTGAACTTTGTGCCTTCAATTTTATCTTTAAGCCATGCTGCAGCCTTTTTTCCACCTTTCTTGATCTTTGTTAATGTTCCCTGCAAGTCGGGATGAGGCTCCGCTGATGCAATGGTCAACATGGCTATTTCCATGTCCTTCAGTACCTGACTGCGGAGACTATGTATATTGCATTTATAGTGGGCGAGGCATAGACAGTAGAATTGGCTGCAGGTGGCCATATGGATCCAGGTTGCGAAGGAGAGTGGTTGTGTCATAGTGGCAGGCCTTGATTGAGTCTTTACACAAGTATACACAATACATGCCTAGGCCTGTTGAATATAGTTAAATCCCAATTAACGTTGACTCGGAATGCAAGAAAATATACTTACCGAGACCTTGGCCTTTATGTCCATCAGCAATGATGGTTTGAATTCCTTCCCCATGCATGTAGTGAAACTGGACAGTACAACCTGTGTCTGCACTGGCAATCTCGAATATTTGTTGGAAGAGGATGAAGTGTGCTTGTGCTGATTGAGATGTTGTGAATGCTCGAGCACCAATAATGGCTACAATAAATTTTCATGGTCATCAGTGAACCAGCTTGGACAACTTTGTACAACTCACACTTCATGTGGGCAATGTCCCAAGACTCAAGTTCAAATTCCTGCCAGCCATGTACACATTTGAATGAAGTGTCAATCAAAAGCTGTTTGGCTTGCATCAGATGCCACAACATCCGCTGTGTCATGCAAATGACCAACTGAAGAGATGAAGTCAATGTTACTGATTGGGTAGGTAGTTGATGTGTCTCTGCACAACGAATATAGCACTCATTGACAGGTAAAAGATCGTGTTTTGTTGCTAAGTGTATTGCACCTTCAAATCCTGTTCCACTTGGAAATTCATCAAATTGCAAGCTATTGATGAGACGCTGAGCATGGTTGGAGTTCCCAAGTGATGGGTGGAGGTCTGAAAGTGAGGGATTTCGAGTTTCCTTCCAGTCAAGCTGGGCTCTTAAAGCTTGTATAAATGCAGAGTTGAGTAGAATCCGACGTGGTGTTGCATCAGCGAGTTTCCAGCTGAGTGTGAGTAGTAACTTGTGAAAAATGACTTGAATGGCTTTGGGAGTTTTGACAGGTGCAGGCAGAGGGTGACTGTGAATATTGGAGCAGATAACAAGAACTTGTGGGCAGGCAGCAAGATCATATGGGGTATATATGTCAAACTTCGCCTTGCATGGAATGGGCCAGCTGTGAAGTGTCCCACGAGCCAATTTTCCTTCACCATTTCAATGCCAATATGCTACCCAATAGATGAGGATCAATGATAATTTGAGTGACACTGATAGAATGACTCACGACAGCATTGCTTCTGCTCAGTGGGGGAGGCAACAAAGGAACATGGTACAAGAGGGCCATATCCATTGTCCTGGGCTCATTTTTCATAAAAGGAAATTGTCTTTGCATCGTTCTCCACAAGTGCCTGCAAATACTCAGTATTGAATTCATCCAAATTTCGGAGGACAAGATGGGAGTGAGTTTAAGAGACTGATGCATCAAAATTTTTGCAGCTATGTTGTGTGATTTTAGTACTCAGTGCACACTGCATGCAAGTTATCAAACTTACTGGATATATGGATGGCCAAGATTATTCACTGATATCACAAGTGGAGCCCCACAGCTCCATGGAAATTCTCAAACTCAGAGTAAATGTTGAAGTCATCTATCTCTGAGTCAGGACTCACATCGAAGCCACCGTGACATCCCCGTTCCATAACAGCACAAAAGAAAGCAAGAGTCTTGTTGAAAACCTCTGCCTCTGCAGAGTCATCACTGGATCCAGGGGGACTCCCACTTGAAGTCAGAGATGCAGCATAATCACTGCTAGAACTGGCCTTGTTGAATGTACATACCTTGAGGCCATTGCCTAGTAGTATGTGTTCTTGTACTTAGCATGATAAAATCAATGGAATGGAACACCAATGTACATACATGATGACTTAAGCTGGTGACAACAGACAGCATTACCTGCACCATCTCAGAGAAGCTGGCACACTGCATTTTCTTGCCCACCATGACCTCCACCAAGAGAATATTGGAATGCTGATTGAGGCTCCGTGAAGGATGCAGGATTAACAACAAAACAGGTGTGCAATGCCATTAGGTGCTGTCATGGGATACTCGAGGATAGCATGAACGGGATGATTGACAACAGCACTGACTTTGTTACAGACTAGGATAGTCATAACAAGCAGCAGCTCAATAAGAGCAACGGCTGATGTTATAGTCAAGACCTTGCAAATGCAAGGGTTGTAAGACAAGGCAGAGAGAGTGTCTCTGACTTGAATATCAATTCAGACGTCTTAAGATTGGAGGTCTTAAGCGAAGGAAGTTCCAGGTTAAAACCTAGTAAGATTAAAGTGAAGTTCTACTAAGTACATGACTGAGTATATATAGAACGTAGGTGCTTTAGGGCAGGTACGTATACATCAGCAATTAGTCAAAGACAAGAGTGAGTCAGAGATAAGAATGAGTCATCTAGTGACAGCAATGGCGATCGTGATGTAGTACAAATATAGCAGAAGGCAAGTCTAGTGATGGTGCAGGGTGACATGGTCATGACGTAATACAAAGGAGAAGGGAAAAATGAATAGGGGCAGGCATAACTGTAACATTACCCCTTGTTTAGGAATGAAGTCACTGACTTCAGTTATCCTGGTTAGCCCAGTAAATAGGGTTGGCATCATAGTTTGAATCCAGCAAATTGTTCTGCTCTTCAGTGATAGGGAGCGACCTATCAGCTAGCTCAGCAGCGTGATAAATGGCATCTTGCTCAATCTCCCAATGAGCAAGGGCTTCATAGAAACCAGGATCAGTCCAAACCAGTGGAATGACCACTTCTCCTTTCAAATCTTTACAAAAGACCGATAGGTGTCCGGGTGCATACTCTTTGCAAACCCAACAGTAGTACGCAGGGCAGTTCTTGTGGTGATGTCCAGCAGCGCGGCAGTTATGACATACTGACATTATCAACTGGTGCCATTTTTACAATTGTGATGGTGGCTGACTGGTCTGGGGGAGAGGGGGACCTTGATTGCTTGTGCATCTTGTGTGGAGAAACCAATGCAGCTCATTTGGTAGCAATGCAGGGAGGATTGGCATCTGAAAGGGTATCGACGTGTGGTGGGCGCGATGGGGGTAGGAGACGGAGAAGCTGGTACAGTCAAGTACAGCAATATGAGGGATATTGTTATCCTGATGCTCAATGGTAGTTGTTGCAGGGATCAGTGGTGGGATTGGAATGGCAACATGTGAAGAAGGGGGACGTGCGACTGGGTCAAGAGCGATCTGTTCTGTGATGATATGAATAGCTTCTCTGATAGCCTCTCTAGTATCATCAGGCAACAGATGGATTGCAGTATTACGAATGTGTATATGAAGATGATGGAAGATGGTCTTGTGATGTTCATCATCAAGAAGATTAGCGGTGCACTCAATGAGGCTAGTGTCTCTAATGATTCAGATGATGAGCCCACTAGATATCACTCCTCTTTCTCCCAGGAGACGATCTATTTCTATAGCGTATTGCTGGGACATGATAGCGGATTCGAACAGAGCACTGGTTTCAACTTGATCAATGATTGAGAAGTAGTCAGTGAGGATAGAGTTGTTGGTGAAGGTAGAGTCGGATGAAGGTGGAGAGATGACTGGGGAGGATGTGTTGGCAACAAGATCAGCAGTGGTTGTGGTTTGGTAGTCTATCAAGGATAGTGGGTGGGCGATGTTTTCAGATATGTTGTTCATAGCAGTGGTGAGTTCTTCAATTCTTTGGATACAGAGGCATAGGCATTCAAGAGACATTGTTCTGGGTCTATAGTTTATGAGCCTTCTTATACACAGCAAGGATGTTGGTGGCATTGCTAAGGTTTTCTTCTGGGACCCATTCATTACTGGCAGAAGAGTAACCTTTCCAGGACAGAAGGTAGTGTCTTCGTTTACCCATGCCCTTGTGCAATAAGATCGCATTGATTTTGTATTCTTCTTCATTATCAATGATGTCTGGGGGAGGATCATGGAAGTTTGGACCACGGACCTCTGTCTTGTGATAGGATGATAATTCCGAAGCATGGAACGTGGGGTGAACTTTCCACTGTGGTGGTAGTTGGAGTGTGAATGTGATAGGGGAGAGAATGGCGGTGATCGGGAAAGGGCCGTATTGCTTTGGTGCAAGCTTCCATGATGGTAACTGCAGTGATTAGATTCTTTCCAGATAACCAAACCTTATCTCCTATCTTCCATGGGTGATACTTCTGCCCATGAGTTCGTTCTGCCATTTGCTGCATAGCGAGGTTATGACAAGAGAGTGCCTCCTCTCTTGATTTCTGGAGTGAGCAGAGTCTATCTTCTGCTGCAGGGACAGTAGAATTAGGGGAGTATGTGGGGAAGGGCTTGTGGTTCATATCCCATCATTAGGAAGAATGGTGAAGCGTTATGAGAATTGTGCTTTTGATGATTGTGCACGAATTCTGCCATAGGAAGATGTTCTACCCAATCTTCGGGGTGGTTTCAGCAATAGATTTGGAGGTAAGTTTCAAGTTCCTGATTGAGTCGTTCAGTTTGACCATCAGTCTGAGGGTGATAAGCAGTAGATGCAGCTATATTGTATTTCAAGAGCTTGGCAAGGGCTTTTGAGAATTTGGATATGAATTGCAGTCCACAGTCAGAAATGACTTTCTCATGCAGGCCGAATCGGCAGTAGATGTATTTGAAAAATTTCTTGGCGACCCCTTCAGAAGTGATGGTTTTAGTGCATGGGATAAGAATTACCCCCTTCGTAAGCCCATGGTCTACCACAACCATAACAGAATCAAAACTGGCACAAGGAGGGAGATCAGTGATGAGGTCAACGGAGACTTGGGTGAAAGGAGCCACAGTGACAGATGGGATGGGGACAAGCAGTAGAGTCGTAGGATGAGTATCAGATTTCATCTGTTGGCAGAGAGCGCAACCTTCAATGTATTTATGGATATAGGTTCCCATAGAGGGCCACCAAAAGTCCTGCTTGACCAGTTCTTCAGTCTTAAAACGCCCAGGGTGACCAGCAGTGGCGTGATCATGGCATTATTCCAAAATAAGGCATCGGCCAGCAGGACGGACGTGAGCACAATCTTTATAGAAAAGAATATCATCTTTGATTGTCCAATCCATGAGAGCGGATTTCATGGGGGGAAGGGAAAGGCTGTCTAAGGCATCGGAAGCAGCCTTGAAGATGGGGTTGGGATCCAATGGGTCGGGATTCGCAAGGGAGGTCATAAGTTCTACATCAAGAAGATGGACAAACATAGAGTCAGGAAGAAGAGTAATGTCTTCATTATCAGCATCGGAGTCAGCACCATGGTCAGGGCGCCAGGAGAGTGCATCAGGAGCGGCGAGTTTGGTTCTGGCAATGTGGTGGAGTTCTATATCATAGCATGATAAAATTAACTGCCAGCAGGCTTGTCTGCAAGTTAATTTCTGAGCAGTGCAGAAGTATAACAGGTTTTTATGGTCAGTGAAGATGATGATGGGATGAGGGTTTCCTTCCAGGTAATGATGCCATTCAGTTAGGGCATGGATGACCACCAAAAGCTCACAATCAAAGATCTGATAGTTTCATTCAGCTGGGTTCAAGGTCTGCAATAAATAACCGCATGGATGGTACATTCCATTTTCATTGGTCTGCAGCAATACTGCACCGGTGGCAACTAATGAAGTGTCAGTTGCTACAGCGAACTGACGACTGGGATCCGGGTTACGAAGGACAGGTTGTTTCAGAAAGCAGTCTTTGAGCACGGCAAAAGTGGTAGCGCAAGGTTCTGACCATAGGAATATGGTGGCCTTTTTCGTAAGGTCAATCAATGGTCTAGCAATGTCAGAGTAGTGAGGGATGAAGTTTCAGTAGAAGTTACAGAATCCTAGAAACGACTGAACTTCTTTCACCGTTGTAGGGATAGGCCAATCGTGAATACCATCTGTTTTGGCGACATCCATTGCAACACATCCAGGATGTATATTCATTCCTAGATATTCCACTTCTTGCGTGTCAAATGTGCATTTCTCTGGTTTTAGGAACAGTTTTTCTTGATGAATCCTTTCAAGGACATGCCAGGTTCATTCATGATGAGAAGTGGGGTCATTTGAGAAGATCAAAATGTCATCCATGTATATGACGAGCTACCCTTCATTAATCTCTTGTTGGAACGTCCGGTTCATATACACTTTGAAAGTAGTGGGGGAATTGCAGAGACTGAAAAACATGACATTTGGCTCAAAGAGACCATATTCCGTGGTAAAAGCAGCCTTCCATCTATCATCAGGATGGATACGGATGTTATTGTATCCAGAACAGATGTCCATCTTTGTGAAGTATTTAGCACCGTGCAACTGAGCAACCAATGAAAGTGGTAATGGGAGAGGGTAAGCATTTTTAACTGTCCAGTCGTTGATGTACCGGTAGTCTTGACAGGGGCGAAGGTCTCCGCTTTTCTTTCCTACGAAGAAGAAACCGCTCGCTTGTGGCGATTTTGATTCTGAAATAAATCCCTTCTTTACATTCTCGTCAATAAAAGCCTTGACTGCAGTACATTCAGCTTCCAACAATGGGTACACCTTGGATGTTTTGGGAATAAAACTGGGTTTGGTTTCAATACAATGGTCTATACCAGGTCGTTCAGGTGGTAGCTGGTTGAGGCCATCCTTTGCAAAGATATTGGCGAAATCGTGAAGGTAAGAGGGGACAAGTTCTTCGAATGACTTCTTCTTCTGCTCAAGCCCAGCTGCTAATGCAAACTGCTGTGCCTTATTACTGGTCTTGATGTATTCTGATTCTGTTGGCCATGACAGTGGTGTAACCATGGGTCATTGTTCCGCAATGCTAGTACCATCTTTAGTTAACGGAGTATCATAGAGGCGTTGGTGATAACCCAAAGCTCAGAAGCATCAGTGGGGTACTCAACCAAAAATTCATCATCCTCAGGGTGGTACATAGCGATTTCGCGTATGGGTGGTGCATAGTCTGCGGTCCATACATCATCTTTGGTATCAAAGGAGTTGTTGTCATCATCGGGGATGGGATCAAGGTTGGGGAGTACCAGGGGTGCTTCTTCATCCGGGATTTCCTCAATGGTAGCCCAGGGTATCAGTTCTTTAGGTGATGCAGCTATGACCAATTTTGCAGGAGGCACCTTTGGCAGCACTACAACTGGAATCGGTTCTGATCTCAAACTGTTTTTCTGGAAGAGAGGTGGAAGGCTGTTCTTCTTCCGTTTGATATTGACCTCTTCCTCAATTTGATCGCTTTTCTCTGTTCTAGGGAGTTCTAGTGTTTCTGCTTTCCATCGGATTACTGGGTCCATGGCACGTAGCCAGGGAATTCCAAGTAGAATCTGATCATGATGGCCAAGCTGTGTGATGTTAAACTTTCCAATCATGGATCATTCATCAATCTTTACGATGAGGACGCAATACCAAGTGATAGCACCCCCCTTTGCATAACTTCCATCCACAGTAGTAACTTGGAATGGTTTTATTAGTTTATGTGTTTGAATTCTGTGGGTTTTGACAAAGTCTTTGGAAATAAAGGTTCCGGTGGCGCTGGAGTCAACAACAGCTGTTGTTTCAACAGTTTTCAGATGAGTTTTGGAGATGAGCAAAATAGGAACATGAAGCTCCTTTCTGATTCCAATACTTCATACAAGTCTGATAGGTACATCAGAAGATACTGACGTCGATCCAGTCTTCCACATCAAAAATCCTCGGCAAGGCGATGGATCGTTGTATCTTCATCCTCTTTATCGCTATCTTCTAATTCTTCACGATGGACTGGGGTTTTCTTCTTCTATGGACATGCTCTTGTCATGTGTCCCTTCTGATGACATGTGAAGCATAATCCTTTCTTCATATGATCACTTCTTTTGGCTTCAGTCAGCTGGTCTACCTCCATGGCATTTGGATCGTGCTGGTCAATGGACCGTCTAGGCACATATCACTGTCCCGTTGGTTTAGTGGTAGTGCGATGGTTCTGTCGAAATACAGTGCCTCTCTGCCAATTGCTATTGAGCCTAATGGCTGCAGTGACGTATTTGTTGAAATCTGTGGGAATGGTTTCCATCTGGAAAATGGAATTAACGATCCCCTTCTTTAATCCATCATTGAAAAACGTGATCAGGACGGCATCTTGCTTTACAGAGGCCTGCGCAGCAAGGGTCTTAAAACTAGTGATGTAGGAGGTGAGGTTGCTCATTTGTTTCAAGGTTCAGAGTTTATTCATGGCTGTGCCGATGGCATCGGCCAGTATGAAAGCTTCTTTGAACTTGGTTTCAAAGTTTGCAAAAGTTCCATAAGACTTGGAGGCGGAGTTGTCAACTTCAGTATAAAAGGTAAGTGCCCAGCCCATGGCACTATCTTCAGTCATGTATGTGAGGGTGGTGATGACTTTCTTTTCGTCAGTGTTATAGATCGTAGCATTAAGTGCAAAATATGCCTTGATCGCATACAACCATCGCAAAGCCTGCTGAGGGCTCCCATCGTAAGTGGAGGGGGCTCTGGCTTTAAGTTCTGGGGTGTTGGTGACAGTGGACATCCTGATCGTTCTGGTCTAGTAATGTTTCTATCTTGCAGGGGACATTTCGTCTCTCTCTGCCTTGTTCTGTTTCTGGGTTCTGGGACCTCTCTGATGGAGAGGGTCAATGTGCACTTTAATCTTTTGTTACAGACTAGGATAGTTGTAACAACAGCAGCTCAATAAGAGCAACGGCTGATGTTATAGTCAAGACCTTGCAAATGCAAGGGTTGTAAGACAAGGCAGAGAGAGTGTCTCTGACTTGAATATCAATTCAGATGTCTTAAGATTGGAGGTCTTAAGTGAAGGAAGTTCCAGGTTAAAACCCAGTAAGATTAAAGTGAAGTTCTACTAAGTACATGACTGAGTATATATAGAACGTAGGTGCTTTAGGGCAGGTACGTATATGTCAGCGATGAGTCAAAGACAAGAGTGAGTCAAAGATAAGAATGAGTCAGAGATAAGAATGAGTCATCTAGTGACGGCAATGGCGATTGTGATGTAGTACAAATATAGCAGAAGGCAAGTCTAGTGATGGTGCGGGGTGGCGCGGTCATGATGTAATACAAAGGAGAAGGGAAAAATGAATAGGGGCAGGCATAACTGTAACAGACTTTGGTGGCTCGATTCACGTAGTTGGCTCTCCATGATATATCATTAGTCATAAAATAATAAGGGGCTGGAGACTGGTATCTTGGACATAGGGCTGAGTCTGTAATTCCTGGTGTACTAGTAGTTGTTGGGTGTAGTGATGGACATGGGTGCAGAGATGGGGATGAGGTTGTCACAGAGATAGGGGATAAACCAACATTATCAAGTATATGTTGCACTTGTTCGAGTGCTGCAATCTGTGAATGACTGAGACTCATGCTTTAGATAGAGATTGAGTGAATAGTTGGGGGGACTCATCTCATTGAATTCAATTCATGCCTGTATATGTGACAATCACAGGCTCTTGTCAATGGCTTGCAAATGACATGGGCATGCCGACCACTCGCTCATCAATTTCTAAATTGTGTTATGGTGGTTCAATGTTGCGCACCATACTGTCATTTTCAAACCTCTGTCCTTGCATTTTCCATCAACTATTGGGCCATGTACACATTATTCTGTTACTCCATGGATGTGGGTTGCTTGTCAAGTGCTGCAAGCGATGTACTAAGTGCAGACTAACCTCAACTGTCATAGGTCAGTCAGACTGTCAATCTCACTTTTAGATGTGAATGGGGACTTGAGTTCAATTTATTTACCTTTGAATAGTATGCCAACTGACGGAATCAGAAAAAAACCTGCAAGGCCCTTTGTATAAAGGTCCGTGAATTTTTCTCACTCATCATAGCCATGCTTCCTCTCCCCGAGTCAGTCAATGACTCAGTCAATGCGATTTTTCGCCCATGTATTGAGTATCAGTGGGGAAGCACAGAACTCATCATTTTTTCACACGAGGTCAAGCAAATTGTTACCATTGCATAGTGTGTACTACCAGTTCACTTTGCTGCTATTAATGACAGACTTGTGCAGCCCAATAGCATCAGGACGTTTTCGTATCCATCCCTATGGCCTCACAGATTACTTACAGCAACGCAGGCTTTTTGTCGGGTGTTTTTGTGGTATCCTTTCAGACATGCCTTGTTCCACCAGGATCATGGATTCTGCCATAAATGGCCACATCCTGATGCAGTGCACTAATGAGCATTGTGGATTTAGAGGTCAGTACATTTTCACTCTTTGTATTAATGCTAAATAGTGCATGTTTCACAACAGCAGATCTCACAGACATCTACCACACTTCATTTTTTACTTCTACCTACAAGGAACTTCCAACACTTGGTATGGTTTTCTCCTAGATACAGTTGTTAGTGCTGATGGCCTGTTTGCAGTTGCAAACCCCCAACCTGATATGACCCTGATTTATGCTGCCTTTCGCTGCCTTCCTCCCAACCTGCATGACATTGCACCCTACTTCAACAGCTATCTTGGATCCCACGTCTCTGTCTGGCCTGATTTTCAGCAACTCCATGGTTTGGTTGGTACTACCTCAGCAAACCCGCAACCATTTATTCAACTGGTCCATCAGCGTCGCACTTGTGAGTTGTAGCTCAGTACAGATACAATTTAGCATGCAACTAATTAATACAAAGTATCTGCTCAAGGGACTGCTACTACTACTCGAGGATCAGCAAGTCATCATGGATGCTGACGCGTGTCCACCTGTCTCCTGGTTGGACAAGACCAGGATGGTGTGGTTGTGATGAATAGACTCATGGCATATGAAACAGGTCTCCTGGCTGACCTCTCTGGCAAGACTGGTGTGAGTATTTGGGACTGGGACGGGCTTTTTGAAAGATGTGACCAATGTGGAAGGTATTTTGTGGCGAGGGTGCTTCGAATGCATATCCTGCACTGTAGAGCGTGAACCTGCATGAATGGTCTTATACAGTGGCTCAAAAAACTGTCCGCATGTTTTGACATTTTTCACTATCTATGATATTGTGTGAGAATGAACAAATGCCTCAAGGACATGCTTATAGCACATTGTAGTATGGCTTCAGGGCTTTCATTTGAGCCCTACACCGTGGGAATCGGTGGAGATATGGTGGAGATACAAGGCTTACAAAATCATGACTCATGTGGACAGTTTTTTGAGCACATATTAAAACTATATAAATCATCATTTATGACACCATAACAATCATGCCACCATTAAATAAATTATAAAGTGGTGTCATTATGTCATTTTAAAACCATATCTAACTATACAAACCAAAAATTTCCATATGTCATGGTTATATTCACCATGAAAGCCACCCCCCCTGCTCAAAGGGATAATATCCTCTCTCTTTCCTATTCTGGCCTCTCTGCTTGTCAAATTTCCTCTAGAACTGGAGTATCCAAGTCCACTGTGGCCAAGTTCATCAAAGAAAGTCACACAGACAAGGAGAACTTCTGTGAAGGGCGTCCATCCAAGCTCACCTCTACTGATAGGAGGGCTATTATTCAACATATCACTACAGGAAAGGCTGATAATGCTGTCCAGGTCACCTATTACATCAATTCCACCATCACATTCCCTGTCTCTTCACACACTGTGAGAAACATTCTCAAGACAGCTCATCTCAGGTCAGTAACAAGGAAGAAAAGGCTTTCCTCTCCATCACACATAAACAGAGATAACTAACCTTTGCCTTAGCCCATCAGAATTGGATTACATGGACTGGAAGCATGTTATATGATCATATAAGACCACAATAAATAGGATTGGGTCAGATGGCAAGGTATATATGTGAAAAATGAAGGGTGCTAGTCCTCTCTGCATATGTGTGATAGAGAGGAGAGCCTTTTCTTCCTTGTTACTGACCTGAGATGAGCTGTCTTGAGAATGTTTCTCACAGTGTGTGAAGAGACAGGGAATGTGATGGTGGAATTGATGTAATAGGTGACCTGGACAGCATTATCAGCCTTTCCTGTAGTGATATGTTGAATAATAGCCCTCCTATCAGTAGAGGTGAGCTTGGATGGACGCCCTTCACAGAAGTTCTCCTTGTCTGTGTGACTTTCTTTGATGAACTTGGCCACAGTGGACTTGGATACTCCAGTTCTAGAGGAAATTTGACAAGCAGAGAGGCCAGAATAGGAAAGAGAGAGGATATTATCCCTTTGAGCAGGGGGGGTGGCTTTCATGGTGAATATAACCATGACATATGGAAATTTTTGGTTTGTATAGTTAGATATGGTTTTAAAATGACATAATGACACCACTTTATAATTTATTTAATGGTGGCATGATTGTTATGGTGTCATAAATGATGATTTATATAGTTTTAATATGTGCTCAAAAAACTGTCCACATGAGTCATGATTTTGTAAGCCTTGTATCTCCACCATATCTCCACCGATTCCCACGGTGTAGGGCTCAAATGAAAGCCCTGAAGCCATACTACAATGTGCTATAAGCATGTCCTTGAGGCATTTGTTCATTCTCACACAATATCATAGATAGTGAAAAATGTCAAAACATGCGGACAGTTTTTTGAGCCACTGTATATGTGTCACTTACCACATCTCATACCAGATTGATGATGAAATATAACAATGAAACTCTCATACCCATCCCACCGTCCCTCACTCCTGATGAGCAAGAGCATGTCCTCATTACCCAGGATGAGTCAATTTTTCATACAAATGAATACCAATGTCACTCTTGGCTTTGTGGTGATGAACAGCCTTTGAAGGGGAAGGGGAATGGTCATGCAATTCATGTTTCTGATTTCATTTGCAAAACAACTGGTCAGCTCACTTTATCAGAAGAACATCTTGCACAACAAGCCACCCTTCCACCTGACCAACAGCTCAAGGTCATGGATGCCCAAAAAAATATCTATCCAGGAAAAAACCACAATGCAAATTGGGATCTTCCTCAGCTTCAGACCAAAATGGTTCATGCCATCAACATATTCGAGTTCTTGTACCCAAACAAGGTTGCTGTCTTCATTTTTGACTGCTCTTCCACTCATGAAGGTCTTGCTGCAAATGCATTGAATGTGAACAACATGAACATGAAAGATGGTGGTAAGCAAAGCCACCTATGTGATACCATCATCCCACTCAATAATCCACCTCCAAAACCTGGACAACCTGACACATGTGGAATGCCACAGTAAATGGTATACCTGGCAACATATTCTGATCCCAAGTTGGCTGGGAGACTGAAAGGGATGAAAGTCATTCTTCAAGAATGGCAATCAGTTTGGGGTGTGCTGATGGAATGGCACAAAGGGAAGGTGGTTGGGAAGTGCCAGCATTGCCAGAAGTCACAGGCAAAAAGGGATGCAGAATAGAGACTTGCATTAGTGGAGGCACTCAGACAAGAAGCACCCAAAACAGGTGAGCTGCAGGCAGAGGATGAGCCAGAAACAGACTCAGAAGACAATGATTGATGCTGCATGTACTACATACTCTCACTTCAAGATGATTTCATCAATGAAAAACCACTTATCCAGCATTACATCAAGAGCTGCAGGCACATTTGCCTTTTTCTTCCAAAGTTCCATTGTGAACTGAACCCCATTGAGATGCTTTGGGGATATGCCAAGTACCATCAGTTTTTCTCAGTTTTCTGTCATGATTTTGATTCATTGATATTCCTGTGTGGCACAGGCTATTGAAATGTCACTGATGGCAAATTCTCAATGGCAAAAACACTGGTTCCACAATGTCTCAACATGTGTGATGTTTTGACTATCTGCCATTTCTTCCACAAAGCTTGGCATTATATGGATGCCTACCAGTATGTTTGTCATTGCTTTCAAGTGATCATGCAGTGCTGAAGTTTGAACAGTAAAGGACTCGATGCCCAACAAGCAGCCTTCACAGTTAAGAAGTACTGTTCTCACCATCATGTTGGGCTTGCAACAGAGATTTTGGCTGCACTGGATGCCAAAACTGCAAGCAGAGGGCTTCTGTAGATTGTATTTACCATCTGCTTGCTTGTATACCTGCCCAGTTACCCATAAATACTATTTCTTGCAACATGTTTCAAATTTTATCAGAAATTTTTTCAACCCTTCAATTTTCAAAATTCTAATGAGGTAGCCTTAATCTACAAGTCAAAAGACTGCATTTGCACTACTCTACGGTACAAAGCAGTCAAATTTCGAGGACTAGATACATTTTCAAGTTCAGGCTAATCCGAGAGGCTGGAAAAGTGCTTTGTACACTGTAGTATGTGATCTATTTTCATCCTACTTTCATTCAAGTCAGTTTGAGTTGCAAGTATCAAGTAATAACCAGTGTAACTTAAGTTTGAGCACTTAGTTGTAAGAGTATCATAACACTTTGCCATAGTAATTTATGCTGCTACTTGAAATACAATACTTAGTGATATACTTAAGGTGTAGTAGGAACCTCATTGCTTGTCAGTCCTGTAACTCCTGTGGAACTGTAGTTACTGTACTACAATTAACTGTGAGCCTGTGAGCAACCCGTGAGTCCTGTGGCTTACTGTCACAAGACCCCAAGTGTGTGACCTCTGTGAGAAAGTTGTACAGTGTGGGTCCCTCAAAATCAGCAACTAGTGAGCATGAAAATTGCAAGTCTATCTACACCTCCACAGGGCCCTCTTTCACCTTCAAAATATTACAGACAGGCTGCAATAGAGTAGTACATTGAGACTATCTCAATCTTTTTTTGAAAAACCTAAGATGTAGAAAATTTGGTCACCTAAAAGTGAACTTCATGTGGAGTTTGTCAGAGTTTCCCTTTATGGAATACAACATCTTGGTGTTATCACATAGACTGCATGCTTAATGTTAAGATAGTAAATAGGTGAGCACCTGTAAACATCCACATACTGCCAACTTTTTCAGAAAAATGCACATATTATTTTGATTGAACAGGTATTAAGAAGTTCAGGTACAATGCATTTCACAGTAAGGAATGTTCCATCAGTGACCACAGTTTCCATGGATGCTTTGCAATCTGAAATGCTCTCTGAGTCTGAGTCTGATACCTCTTCTACCTTGTTGATGAGACTGAATGAGTGTTCCAGAGTCTGAGTCTGACTCAGAGGAGTTAGAGTCATTGTCACTTTTACCATTTGTTTCTGGCACATAATTTGGGTCAAGGTAGACCTCTAAAAGGTCTTCCATAAGTGCATTATTGAAGTACTTGCAGCAAGTATAGCTGCATAGGATGTGAGTTACATGTGTGATATATATGAGAATGATACTGTTAAGAACCATATTGCTCAAGGGGGAGAGACTGACTCAGAGGGGCTTGGCCTCAGCTCATACACTGTGCCCCTTACCCGAGTATGTGCCCTTCATTTAGTATGAGGTCCAATGATGGTCCAACAAAGTCTGGAGGACTTCCGGAGGCTGGCTACTCTGCTGGAGAGCACTAGAGGACTTCCGGAGGAGCACAGGAAATGTCTGGAGGAGCATGGGAGAGTTCCGGAGGAATGCAGGAAGTGCTCAGGAGAGTTCCCACTGCAAGGTAATACTTCTACAGGAAACAGGATGGAGGGATAGGAGGTCCAAAGGTCCGGAGGGCAGGAGGACAGGAGGACAGGAGGACAGGAGGACAGGATGTCCGAAGGTACAGAGGGCAGGATGTCCGAAGGTACAGAGGGCAGGATGTCCGAAGGTACAGAGGGCAGGATGTCCGAAGGTACAGAGGGCAGGATGTCCGAAGGTACAGAGGGCAGGATGTCCGAAGGTACAGAGGGCAGGATGTCCGAAGGTACAGAGGGCAGGATGTCCGAAGGTACAGAGGGCAGGATGTCCGAAGGACAGGAGGATAGGATGTCTGAGGGTTAGGAGGACAGAATGTCCAAAGGTACAGAGGGCAGAACGTCCAAAGGACAGGATGCCTGGAGGTATGAGGGACAGGAGGTCCGGAGGTCCGGAAGGAATAGGGGCTACATCGGACTTCGTCCAATGTAGAAACAAACAGAGGTGGACTACCCTAAGGTAGAGTTGGAGAGACAGGGATTGGACCTAAGTCCAGAAAGAGGGTAAGTGCTGGAAAGGCAGAGCTCCGGCCTAGGGAATCAATCCCTAGGCCTGATGGGTAGGACAGGCTTAGGTGGACCAAAGTCCGAGAGAGGATTGGGCAACTCTAAGTTGATATTCAAACTGAGGAACTACAGGAGTATCTACAGGGGTTATATACTGGAGAATATCTGAGGGGATCAATAAGTAAAGGAGCAGGGCTATGTACGAGCATGTGGAAACACATTAGTAAGTAAGATGGAACATAAGTAAATGAACTCAGAGATGAAGACTCATACAAGGATCAATAAGCAAGACGGAAGATGAGGTAACTGAAAGCTGGAAAGGTAGAGATGCCTAAATGGGGATAGGCACAGGATCTCGGACAGAGGGTGGGAATAGGTCCAGCGTTAATATCTGGGGATCCGGAAGACAAGGTGGATACAGGACCGGAATACTGAGAAGGTGGATATAGTCCAGAATCCAAGACTGAGGTGAAGTCTGGATGTCTTGCTGGATGGAGTGTGCATAGGGTGGATGGGACAGGGGGGTATGGATCAGGCTAGCAGTGGAGATCCAATGGTCCAGAGCTCAGGGGTAAATCCAGAGCATAGTCGATCCTGCTGAGGTGTGGAGCACAGTGGAAGGGGATCTGGGAATGAGCTGGATATGAAGTGGGGTCTGGATGTAGGCTTGGAAGGCGTGGGAATATGATGGAACATGGGTCCAGATTGTGGGATATGACAGATACTGACCTCAGTGACAGACAGAGTCAACTGAGGAAAGCAGGCAAGTGAAGAGTGAAGGAAAATTTCTAGGTAGTTAAATAAGTGAATGGCACTGAAGGACAACAGTGAGCATTTAAGATGCAACAGTACTTTGCCTGCTTCTGCCTTTTTGTCAGAGGAGGCATTTGGGGAGGGTGACTTCAATTTGTTTAGTTTCAACTCAAAAGTGAACACTTATGTAATATCTGTAATTTTCGGGAAATCATATTTATGCTTATTTCAATCATGTTTCCTATTGAAATTTTAATTCTAGAGTGCACTGAGCAAAATTGCTGCCACAGGAGAGTTGTTGGCTCTTAGTGACTTGCACTGTAGTTTACTGATGTACCCCTTCAAATGACAGGGTAGTGAGATGATATGACATCATGGAGTAATCAGTGTTTGGTTATCTGAATGTGTTGGAAATAATATGGAATGAGTAGGGGATAGACTTAGGTTCCTGCTGTTTCCTATAGGTGTGAGCCTGCAAATTCTTGCACAAGTCTCTATGTTGATTTGTCCTGAGTTTGAGCTTTCTATGTTGTTAGATGGTGAACTGGGTCACTGCCCCACTCTCATCACCAGATGGACACGCCAGCACTGCTCTCTAGAATGGAGGAAGATGCTAACTCTACTACTGAACAGCATGTGCACCTGCTACTGCCTACAACCAGGACCTCTCGGGAACTGCCGAGCCCCCTGGCACCTCTGTCTTTGTCACCGGCCTGCCTCTGCTCTGCTCTACGCCCGACTCGACTACACCTGCTAAGGTGTACCACTACACCATTAGTGTTAACTCTGTCGTTCAGGACAATATTATGTCATCCGACAAGCTCTCGAAGATCGACTCGATGATGGAACGGTCCTTGAGAGTTTTTTGGGCTACATGAAACAGCACTACAGGTTACTTACGGGAGTGATTCCGAAACAACCTCTGACGCCCCAAAACAAGCAAGGCAAGGCAACCGGAGTCGGGGACTTGCCGCGTGCCAGTGCCGATCATCGATCAGTTGTCAACCGGTTGTCCTTGCGCGTCCGAGACAACGTGCTCTATCTTCTAAGCCAAATTCCTCTCGGTGGCACCGGCGAGTGCTCAGCAGGACTACAGGTCATCCACACTAGAAGGATATTAATGCTCTTTCAAGACTCCATATATCATTATGCTATCAGCAATCTCCAAGTCTCAGACCGTCATACATCCTGTGCTCCAGTCACATGATAGTGCTACGATCACTGCATAGCGTAACGCATCATCAGCATAAGCTTATTTTTCTTCATACTCACAACCGTTGCTACATGCCGTCCACGTTCACAGCGGTGCTGCATTGCACATTGCAATACTTATTTTCAACAGCTTGCTCATGAGGCTGCAGACTAATATTCACCCGTTCTGTCACTCGAGAATGTCAGTCTCAGACACCTTCGGTCTACAGCTAGCCAAGGTAATTTACTTGTGCTTTAATAGTCCGACTTCTTCTCTAATGCCTCTAATCATTGAAGTATACTAACGGTAAGGTCGGCCGATGATAATGCGTATTGTTATTCACAACTCTCTTTCACTCCGAAGTCGCTGCATCAACAATCCTAGTAAGTTGTGTCGTTTCAGTTTTGTTACAACGGATCTAATGTATCACCAGATTTATGATTATTTTGTCACGTTACATTCTGAAGTCAGTAAAAGCAGCCACCCGTATCTCGGCGCTAATATTATTTTAGGTCCAATGGGCCTGGGGACGGAAGTGGGGAATCATTCATACCACTTTCGCGGTTTCACGATATGCACCTTTTGCTGGTGCACTTATGACTTCGTATTGTGAGATATGCCAGTGCGCACTACAATGCAAAGCTGATTCCTAACCAGCCGCTGTCAAGGCGTGGGGCAACCAAGATGTGGGTACACCCTTCATCAGTGCAGCGTCGACTGCAACTCAGATTGAAATACAGTGCGCACCCTTTAACGACGCTGTAAATGGTTGGTCCAGACGGTTTTCGTGACATGACTTCGCAATGACATTTCACAGGCATACATTTCTTGGGCATCATTGCCTCGGAAGGTTGGCTTTGGCATACCACGTTACAACAGGCATTCACACCCACGACAGGTTTGTTGATTGCCAGGGTCTACGCCTTTTCCGGTAATAAAAAGGCTTATCTTATTGCACTTTTATCTTTTGGTTTGGTACAATGATATCTCTATTTCTCTGTGCATCACTAACTCCTATGGTGCAGGTCATCTTGGTAGCGTCTGTGATTCTAAGTGCCGCCCCCATCAATTTCAACATCCCAGGAGGCAAGGTCGTAAGGTTTACCTCTTAGTCTTAGTATTCATTCTTTTTCAGCTGGTCCGCCTTGCGTATTTGAGGGAGCTCGTAGTAGTGCCCTTCCATATGGACTCTTAATGTTCTTCGAGATTGGTGAGACGGCAACTAATTCCAAGATCCTTACCTGACAATTCATTTCTAGTTCTCATGTTCACCACCGCGTTTTTGAGATATCGGCACTATTTTGGTTTTCATAATAAATTAATAAGGGATATCTATCGTGATGGACTCTTATACATGTTCTGCATCACAAGTATTAACGCCATTGTTATCATTAGTTGCGTGCTGACATCTCTATAGTGATATCCACTGTTAATGTGATTGTCACCACCGTGCTACCTGTGAGTTCTTCCCTGTTTACATTGCTCTCGAAGAACTGAGCAGATCCCTAGCTCTCGTACAGCGAGATGTTAAACACGTTAGCCTGGTCAAATATGTATATTGTCAAAAGCTCATATTCCTCATTTTAGACCCCAGATTGTTGCGCACAGCGTTCTTGCTTCTCGAATACTATTCAATCTTCAAGCGAACAAGGAGCAATCGATCGTCCCTACATTCCTATCGACGATTGTGCCGGAGATGCAATCGCTTCCAGATGAGCTTCAAGCGCGGCACGAAAGCAGGGAGATATTTACTCCTGCTGGCCAGCCAGATCAAGCTTAGACTTGCTAATAATTTTGAGGGTTGCATGGATAGCATTTGTCGTTTGAGTTTGCTGACTATGAATTGCTCATCTCCTAGTATCTCTTTGTCACGTCTTCCGTTCCGGTGGTAAGCCACTTCATTACCCAGGTGTATGTGTTCTCAGGACTTTGCAAATGCATATTAACGACTGTAGACGATCCATTTGGTTACCACCTGTGAAATATCGTTCCTCCTGATCGCATAAATTTGATATAATAAACTACTTGGTGATTTTTGACGACGACCTCGGACTCTAATGATCCTCTCTTAATCCTGCGGTCCGTCTTTTACAGCATTCTCATTCTATAACAACACAACACCATCAACTATTCTGGAATCTGCAGCCACTGGCGGTTGATACGATACCAGCTTTCCAAATCCACCAGTGAGGATGCGTGTTATAATCGTTCTTGCCGAATGCACACAATCCTGCCAATGGTCACATTAATGAACCGGTCGCATCGGTGGGAATGAGCAGCAGGGATGCGGAAGTATGAGCATGTGCTTGATATCGACGGACCAGAAACGTGAGACGCATTGACACCACATGTTCTGTCGAGTTGAGAGCTCCTTATATCGCATCGGTAGTTCGGTCTACGTCACATCGACATCCATCGGCATCAGTCTTTCGACGCTCGCAGACTCTCCATCTTCTTTGCATACATCGCAAACCGTCTCCCATCCTGCTCATCATCCCACCTTGCAAGCACCCCGCCCAACCCCTCACTCACCCTTATAACATCCTCCCTAAGACCCCTCGCATACTCCATCTCATAGCGACCCAAGAAATGGAAATTGATCAGGTCAGAAGGGTTGTCGGATTCTGAGCGCTGTTCTGCTAGGGTGCGGAGGCGGCCTTGCTCGTATATGAGTCTGGCTTTGGGAGTACGGGGTATTTGGATGAGCCCTGACCATGCAAGGGAGAGCCAGGTGCTGGTGAGGTCTGCGAGGGTGAAGGGGATGAAGGAGGTGGGCGCGCCTATGAATGCGAGGGTGGGGTTGTAGGCGTAAAGGATTTGATTGTGGAGGGAGGGGATGCGGGAGGGTACTGTAGTGCGTGATGTTAATGGTACGAGTGTGCGAGCGCGGATCTGGGGGTCTGGTTCTGGGCGAAGGACGCGGAGATAGGGTACGTGCGGATAGTAGCCTGTTCCGAATAAGACTATGTCGATATTTTCAATGGTGGTTCCATCTTGGACATGAGCGGTGATTTTGTTGTTGTCATTGGTGGTGTAGCGACTTACGGGGCCAATGTCCTCAATGCGGGTGTCGGGTAAGGAGGGAAATACAGAAATTCGGCGGGTGGATCTGTATATTGGTGTTTGGGCTACGGGAGCGAGCTGAGCGGCCATTTCGTTTGCAGAGTTTGCATTTCCGATGACGAGAACACGCTGCAGGAATGTGAGTTCTTCATGAGATGTAAGGAGGAAAAATTTACTTTTGCCTCGTAATCACCAAGTGGACCTGTCCAGTTTATGGCATGCTGGATTTTGTTGGGTTGTTGCTGTTGCAACTCTCGAAGACCCGGTATATCTGGAAAATGCGGGTTATCAAACCAAACGGTAGTGATAACCACCGCATCCCAAATCTCCTCCAATACCACACCGCCTTTATTCCAATTCTTCATGCGGACTGTCCATCCACCGCCCTCCACCTCTTCCACTCCAGTGACCTCGAAGCTCAAACGTATATGCCCGTTCTCGATGAACGGGTGCGCAAATTCCTTGAGGTAGGCGTTTGTCTCTGCTAACGTAGGGAATGGCTGATGTTCTCTGGGAGGTGCTGGAAAAGGATGTTCTGAGAAGGAGAGAAACTCGGGTATTACGTTGCCTATGAGTCCAGGGTATGCGGGTGTGGACCATCGCGAGCGATGGTCAGGGGTGTGATTTTGATACCTTGTTTTGTACTGTAGGCTTTAGGTGAGCTAGAGTACTTGGTGGACGTACCAGACACCGCCAACATCGTCACGTCTTTCGACAAGCTGGACTTTGGAAAACGTTCCGCGATGGAGACAGTTGCGGAGCGTTATGAGCCCGCATGGTCCTCCACCGATGATGAGCAGGTTCTTTGGTTGGAGAGTCATTTGAAGGTGTTTGCTGACTCAGCGAATACATGTTAAGATGGTTTAAAGTTTTCATCGCTTTCGACAGCTTTCCTTCATACTTCCTCCCGGGCCGGAGTGGACCTGCGCTCAAGGACGTTGCAGTACTGATTACTCTGCAGATGGTCACGAAACGAAGACAAGTAACTATGAATGTGCTGATGTCGCGCTCCTCAATCACTCTTCTTCGTTTCGTGCTGTAACCGTTGAAGTTTGTGACTGCGTTGGACTCGCATCCTTTTCCGGTGTCAAGCGCTGCCTTGAGGTTCTTCCCTCCGAAACAGTTCATAAATTGGCTTTGGAGGTAAGACATGATTGTGACTTCGACAACATCAACATCACCGTATCTCCGTATTTTTATATGCCCAGCAAAATGACTCCAGCGAGGTATGGCATAATCAGCTTCGTTCGAATCACCACTCTACCCCCGATTTATTCTCAAAGATCAACTTCTCAATGATGGTGAGATTCACTACATTCCTGGATTCATCTTATTCAACCAAACTCATATTCTCCCAGTTGACAATTGTTCGTTGCACACCATACTCACCAATATATCCGGTATTCATACTGGCGGCACGCGTTTGTTCTCTTCCCGTTTTGGAGTCGCCACGGAGCTACTCATATAATGCGTATCGGCCAGAATGGAGGTACAACGTGTCCTGTATATCTACTATTATTACACCATCATGCTTGCTGTAATCGATGGTCGATATTCTTTTGCGTGCAGACCCGTCATGAGGGGAATCAGATCGTTTACAAGTGCATTTCTGAAGCACGTGTTTCCCAGATCCCAACGCCACGTTAAACCGCAAGCGATGCACTGCTGTGCAGGCGAACAATAAGGACCTCGGCACAGTCGACCTCTTTGATCGAAATGCCTTGGTATGCTCGCCTTTGAGGTACTCTCGGCCGAGTCGGTACTTACAGCTCGTTTCGAGACAAATACTTAGACTTCCGAAAATAGCCAGGACACGACCACATAGAAAACCGCACCAGACAATATAATTTCATGGCTACACGCTTTGGTATCACTAAAGCAACTATCCAGCTCCGTCAACCTGCTGGATCTGGCCATAAAGTCTACCACCTCTTGTTACTCGTCTGGGATTCCCTGGTTCCCGGATATTGCAGTCATATGTTACTTCGAGGTACGAACGCCACCGTTCAAAGTTCACGAACGGTTACACCTACCAGGCCTGAAAGGTCACCCAGCCTGGGGGGCGTCAACTTGGAGGCTGTTAATCACAAATACGTCCCGTTCCTGTTGCTACGGGAGAGTGTAGCTTCACGCTTTTTGTCATGATCCTGTGTGGAAGACTTGAATTATATCTCATTCATCTCATGTGAACATCAAGCGCAAGCGCTAGAGGATCCGGTGAAATTCAAAAATCAAAGTGGTTAGGTACATCTATTCTGCATGTCTTTGGGGACGTCACTCGCAGAGAGGACCTACCTACTCCGGCAGGTTAGATCTTGGCATAATCCCGATGTTTTGATGCTTTGGTCTGGCCAGAAAGATTGGCTTTTTTTGCTCGGGAAGAACGTGCCGCATGGATAAATTCGAAGGTGAACCTTGGGTGAGTCATGCATAGGCCTGGCAAGTTGGAGTAATGTTTTTAACAACTGCAATGGGACGTGAATACAGGAAATCCAGTCTCCAGCCACTATGAAACTAGGAGGTTAGTATCACCACCTGAATGAGTCAGTTGTGCGTTTCACCTGCTAAACTGCACGGCCAATCATTAATTTCACACACGGTTGAATAATTGACGAAAAATGATTTGAACACGTATATATACAAGTGTCAAGGCGCTACACACGGCCCGTAGTGTTGTGGGCAGAACTGGCGCTAGTACTGCCAGGCAGATGATAGAACCTCCTGGACAGAATGTAGCAGAACTCGAGATGTACTCCAGGCTCTCTGCAATGTCTAAGTCCGGATGTCATCCTCTCAATTCACTTGTCGGAAGTAGGTTCTGATAAAGGGGGATCCTACTTCCGTTAAGTCTATAGACAGAACGTCAACAGACGTTGTCGAAACTCAGCAAGATCCGTGCAGATATGAACATCGCTGATGATCGACGATTGATCTTGCCGGCATTCATCGACATCATGCGCAGCTTCTTGATGATCGTAGACTCCTGAGATGATGCCCGCCACACTAGAACCTTGGTCGTTTGTAATCTTTGATCTCTCGAGGGCTCCAGCGGTGATGTTGATACAGGTTGCCAAACAGCTCGAGATTAATTTCACTAGAAGGGAGAGCATTTGAGTTTGCGAACCTGCTGTGTGAGACTAATGCCGGCAGGAGTGGTTGAATGAGAATGGACCACCACTGATCCACTATCCGGCTAGTGCACGTAGTCTCATCATCAATGTTGGAGTGCCATCAGCATCTTTGCCAAGGTCCTGCCAAGTTCTGCCAGCTCTGACGGCAGGACTGGTTCTGCTCACAACACTACGTGACACAGACACCTCAAAGGAGCGCGAGGCCCTCCACTTCCTGTGCCGAACAACGGGTATGGACTCGTGCTTGCAAGCGCGTCAAAATAAGCCGAGCCCCCTGGATGTAATGCAGTCTTGTACTTCAGTACCCAAATGGCACGCCTGGAGATTTCCGACACAGAGGCACATATGTCAATCCCGTCCCTCCAGTTCCGTCCCGGCGTCAAGGCAGACGCTCGCCATTGTTTGTATCTCGGAAAAGTCGCATCGATGGATGAATAGAATTGGAAATGCACTGGCAGTGTGCCACCTTGATGAATCACAGGTTGGCCGGTTCAACGTTGCAAGTTAACGTCAGATGATAAGCAACCATTAACCGTTGAATATGTATCCACATTGACAATGTTTAATATTAGACTCAACCTGTGCGGGCGCTTGGCATGTAGCCTGATGTCGTGGGGAGGGCTAGGCCATAGGCCTCTCATTGTGACGTTACTTACGTGAACGGGGTAACAACATGATTAAGTTACCCGGCCAAGTCGCCTATGTACTTACCAATAGTAGCCATGACTCGGGCGGGCGTACTTGTGAATGCTCATAAACGCCCATGCCAGTGCTGCATATTATAAATGCGTTAATCACAACGTTTTCTTCGTCACAGTCCTCCACAGTTCAATTCGGACAACCTTTTAGGCCTAGGGTTGACAATTTTGAAACCTTCCCTGAAGCACACCCCTTACTGACTCATCTTGGACTGCCGTTTCCGTAGATAGATGGCGTTCTCACCAGCAAATGGAACAATGCAGATAGCGATCAGTCAGATCAAGGACTATACAGAAACGTGAGTCATGCTTCCCTACTGTTCGTCTTCGCATACTTGATGCCCGTCTTTTCAGGCGCCAAACGATTGTACGTTGTCCTCCATAGTCTACTGTTGCAGTGACTGATATACATATCCTATGATTTAGTATGTTGGGTTCGCAGGTTTCACCATATTGGTTTGGGACCACCTCGTGACCAGCGGAGATGAGGTGCGACATTAGCAATTGCACCAGAAATCAGTGAAACTCAACACAGTACTCAGATCGAATTTATCTGGAATGGCCCCAAGGGGATCCGTGAGTGGCGTCACCGATATGAACATGCATTAGTATCTGAACCTGCTTAGTTGTATACTTGTTTCTACTGGTATGCATATGATTGGCAATATCTGCCAGTTAAAACCTCACATATGTGGGTCTATGTCCCAGAACCGATATCTTACTCCTCTCGGTTTTATCGTTAATCTGGTTGGTGAGTACATCATTTTCGGCTTACAATCTTATCCGTGACCTCTACTGCCAGCCTACAACCTCTCTTCATGGAGCTACACAGTGAGTTTTGATGTTTTATACCCACTGCCAGTCATGAATCTTACGAACTCAACTGCAGAGGTCAGTATTGCACTGTACTTCTGGACTCAGTTAACATTATCCAAGTTACCAGCATTTTGTCCGATACGAAGGGGTTATGGTAGCTCTAGGAATTGAGATAGTCGGGCTAATGATGCTGATACGGTGAAATTTACTATTCCCTTTTCAGAAAGCATCCACTAATGATGGAGCACACAGGGTCGTTGCAATATATAGATATCATAGGGCTGTCATTGTACCGGCGGTATTCTTACTGTTAGCTTGGATTGTAGTGACTGCATGGCTATTGAGTAATGGCGGACGTATGTTTTCACCTTCACCACGCCATGCATGATTTCATGATAAAGCCCCCAGCCGTTACTCACGTAAACAACATTCACTGTGAGATACTTATTTTTTCGCACACGACAACCTTATTCACGTTTTCACAGCTTGCACCATGGTGTTCAATTCGTGTGTCCTTATATACGACTGATATGCAGATGTAAGTTCTGAAACACTTTCTAGCGGCCATATTGCCTCGGCTTCAGCTTGGTTACCTCTCCTTTACGACACGTATGTCTTCGGGTTGACGTTTAAACGCACGTTTTCTTCGATCCGCAATCGGGAAGCGGGTCATATTATTCGTACTCTCTTCGCAGATGGGTTACTATATTACAGGTGCGTGAACCATACTCTCCTGGTAGCAGAGCTCACCAAGCATCCAGCGTCATCTGCACCGTAAATCTGGTGTTGACAATCATGATCATTAAATCTGACGATGGGGTGAAAAATATTGCCGCACAGTACGCACATCTTCGTGTTTGCTCAGATCTTGTTTGCTTACAATACACTGTGCACAGGCTCGAGCTTCTGTAAGTCTTTATTGTAAACCACGAGTAACAATCATCGACTAACATTATTCCATTACAGCCTCACCGTGAGCACGAATTGAAGTGTGTATTTGACATATCCTGACCATTTCCGGTCAACAGGTCACAATGATGTCAAGGATCACTCTCAACCTCAAGAAGGAAGCGTATTACGGACCTAGTCACCTTCACTTGCAAGCAGAAAGTGCTATCATGTCTACATGTCATCACGTCATATCAACACCCTCAGGAGAAGTTTTCCCTCTCAGCCGAATACGATCACACTCCGCGGCGCGCGCTGAGTTGAGCAGCCGTGCGCGATCTGGCTCGACGAGTTCTCTTTCCCCCCCTGTGCGAGTCATCACTTTCGCAGAGACTCCAACAATCTCCGGTACCAGAATCTCAGATGCCCAAAGTCTCATGAGTAGCAGTCCGGTTTCCGAGCATGCCGACTGGCCTTCAGCCTCAAATTCCAACAAGTGGAATACTGCTGACATTGTATGATCTCAAACATATTGCTATTCTACGTTGTGTGTATTATTTTGGATGGGGCAGAATACGTGGTTGAGTAGACTGATGAATGCTGACTATGTATTGATTTTGGTTGTTGTATGGTGCAATAGTGTAGTTTATAGGAGGTCTGGGTACACAATATATTTTTATCATTGCGGTTCGTTGGTGAAGAAAGATGAGCACAGCGTACCACGACGACTTTGAACGTAGGACAAAGCGGTATTAGGTGACCGTTGGAGAAATAGTGGGTTCAAAGATCGACAACGGTGTCCGAGAAAGTACCTCAGCAGTGGTCGAAAGGGATTGTGTAAGCGAGCTTCAAGGCTTGTAGTTAAGTCACTGAATAGCTGTAGTGGTAGGGATCAAACAAAAAGGTGATACATGAGTCGTCGAGCAGTTGGAGGTAAGATCCATTTCCGTGATAGAAGTTATGAGCTCAGAAGCGGAAGGAAGTGTCGGAGTTAACGTCGTTAAGTAGGGACGGCAACTGCTGTGAAGTATCAAAGATGCTTCTGGCAGTGACGTAAGAATCGGATCTGAGCTAGTGTTGCCTCGTTCACGATCTTGAGTAGGGGAGAGAGGCGGGAGGATACAGAGCAAAACGTACAGGGACTTAGGCCCTAGACATGCCAGCAAATCAATGCCGTCCTCCACAGAGTCTGCGTTAACTCATCTAAGTCATCGTCAAGCGAGGTGATGTGGCCGTCGTAATTGTTGCTATCGTGCGGCTGATGTTGGGAAGTCTGAACGTGAATGGATTACAAATGCGCAGCACAGCATGACAGGCTCGATTGATACCAAGCTGCCGAAAATGCGTGCTTATGTGTTTCAGAAACCACAAGTCTGTAATATTCAACAGCGTTAAATGATCCGTGGCCCGCGCGGGATGGTTTGTATCGGCTGAGTAAAAACCGCCCTCGAGGCAATCGACCCGTGTGATGCATGAGGCAAGAACCCTGTGCACGACTCAGCATTGAATATCGACCTAAACATAAGGTTTACCCGTAGAAAAGATGAGAATATAATCATTGGGCAACCTGATCAGAAGCTTATGTTATGAGCTAGGGCAAGCCACCCGGAACAACGCACAGCATCTATATTACATCATTGTGATATACAGCAACAACTGATGGACTATTCTCCAACCGGCAAAATGTGGAGTGTCAGGGACATCAGCGCTGGCGGAGGGTAGTAGCCGATAGAAAACCATCGAAATGCTACGTACCAAGCTCATAGATCACGAGCAAAATAAAAATAATCACCATGTTTCGTTGTCCCATTTTTCGTCTGCCCAACATCCCAATTTCCTCCGTGTTTGGGTAGTTCTCGGCAAGTCTCGGCAAGTTTTCTTGCCAGTGGAGGAGCGCCCTTTTGATCCACAGCGAGTCGCCCCTTGTTCATCAATAGTGTCAAGTACGATGACCACGTCACTGATTGTGATTTTGGACAAACTATGCCTCAAATTCAGCCGTGGTTCGACCGAAAACGTTCAAGAAGGAGTAATGCCCGAGCATTGAACAGTGAATTCTACCGACGGCGACGATATTGATTTAACAGCGCAGAGCCCCATCAGATCAGGCAGATCTAGTCCGGGTCCGCGGTCTTGGAGAACTCAGCGTCCATCTGCCCTACATCTCTTCCACTCCGATGACGTTGAGGCTCGGACGAATATGCCCGCTTTCGATAAACGAGCGCGCTCAGCGCCTTGAGGGAGACTCCGCGAACTCGGGAATGACTGATGTTCTCTGTGATACACTGGAAATCCGAAAAGGTGCTCTGAGAAGAAGGAAACTCGGGTATCACACGGGTCCGGGGTATGCGAGGGTGGACCAGCGCGAATACCCTCAGAAGTGATTTGTGATAGTCCATGGACATACATTAGACGTTGCCAATGTTTCGACGACCTGGACTTGGGCGAATGTCCCCGCAGTACTACTAGGTGGAGATATAATGAGCAATTTTTTTGGAATCTGTTCAATGCTGGATCATCGATCACTGCCAATCGGAGCAAAGTTGAGTTGTGTCTAATCTCACCTTATGATACAAGCTGGTAGTACTTCGCTGTAATAGTCAGGCTATGTATGTACTATCATAAAAGGAAGGTCGTTCCTTGTAAGGAGTCTGTCGGAACTCAGCAGAGACCTCCAATCTTTCATTAACTTTTAAGTCGTTGATCATGGCTACTGGTACATCAAGAGCGGATCGCTTTCCCAATTTTACCTTTCAAGCTTCAAACGTTCTTGTATTCACTCCCTGGAAGCAAGAATTGCTGGTGTGGCTGCGCTCACGGAGGACGGGGATCATGCCTATTCGGGTGTTCGCTTTCACCTTCATTTCATGCTGTCCATGACTATGGGCAGTCCGTGGTTCTCAGGGCTCCCGACCCATGGCCATTGGCCAGCAGAGCCCTGCTGTGTTGATCATTGTCACGGGAAAAGGCTGTAAATTTTGGACAACCGCGGCTCTGACATCGACTTCAGGCATCCCTCGATCAATTTCTTTGCATGTCCAGCAATGACGCTCAGTTATCACCGGCACAATTAAATGTAAATCAGATTAAGAAATTCACAATACCCCCACAATCGGCAATGATCATAAGAAAATATCAACCCCCTCCAGTCTTGCACCGTTCGATCTCTCAGCTGCTTGCAATGGCATGTTTGAACTCTCGAACACTGGCCCTGAATGGTTGGATTTCTACATAAGACTCTTGCCAACAGAGATGGTCAGTCCATGATTTCTGATGCGTATATTTGTGCATCCTGAAGGTTTTTCACGCAGCTCCGGACTGAATTATACCTTGTCTACTTCTTGCTCATGGGTCCCATCTACACTAGTGATCTTTGGCACATAGTTGGTAGGCGTGTCATGGAAGCGCAGAACGAGGAACTCTTGGCTTTGGGGGCGTAGAAGGCGTGGAGTCGTAGGCCGAACCTTCATGGAAAGGAAGAGGGATCGATGCCAGGTGGGAGTGTCTATGTGCAGCAAGGCTATCGAACACATAGCAGCACCGATTCATGCGTGAGATTCTTTGACTTTGGCATGCGAATGAACGGTCTGACACCTTGCTACTTAGCAATGCCTCATTGCAGTTCCAGTCAACCATGACGTTAGGTCTTTCTTAGCAACCTCGACGCATCTGTGACCCGTCCGGCAGCTGTGCAAGAGAAGTGTAAGACATGGTTAACATCACACGATACCAACCTCATATCAGCTAATGATGGCCCACCACCAGGTGGTTCTGCCCCTTTGGCCGTTGGTCGGTCCACTCTTTGGCATCAAACAAAACAAACATCCGTCATCGTGAACGCCATTAATTTGCTTGGCTGCTCTCACTTTATTTTATAAAGTCCATTGGCCCCTCATTCTGTCGGCACATGGGTGTCTAAGATGTCTTTGACCAGACATGCAAAGTAGAGTCAATCAACCAGGTGGGATTGACAACAGCGCACTATGATGTCGGGTATTGCCATATTGGACATCGCAATTATCAATTGGAGCTACCTCTCTTGCGGGCAAAGATATGTCGCGCCCAGCTGAGGTAGAAGTTTACGTACCGGTCATTGAAAATGCCTGTGCGTTCGACCATTTTGATAGCGCGGGGCACGAACTGATTGTATTGTTTTCGAATGCTGATGTTCTCTAGCCCTAAGTCACCCACCGCCCCTACTGCCAAAGGAAATGGCTCGGTACGAGGACATGGGTGACTACATAAGTCTGACTCTGACTCGGGCTAGGTAGCTTTGTTTCGTCAGCTCTTAGATGATCTCACGATCCCCTTGTATTGAAATACGAACATGACCCCAATTGACACATGTCAGTCTTTGATGTCTGACAGTGACAGAATGCCCATGGTGAACAATAGATCCGAGTGACCGTTTTTTTATGGGCAAGATAAGCACAACGTCTTAACTCAGGTAAATGAAAGATTTAGGTTCAGTTCAACAATGTATACATTGTATTGATCACATAAGGACATATACATCACTGTCGTGATGGACGGATGAACCTTTAGTCTAACGGCATATCAACCCTGTGCTGACCACTATCTTTTCATGAGTGAGTGAGAAATATGTATGTACAACGGCCAGAATCAAGTAGCAAATGAAACAGCTAGGTTATTAAGCTGTTTGTAGTGTTACATCACATATAACTTACGGCTGACTTCGGGATCCACGGGATAACCTTTACAATCCAAAGAACTTCCTCGGCACATCAAACCACGTGTGCCGGCCAGAAACGGGGGGAAAACTCTGCCACGGAACCTTCCCTCCATGTAAGTATCCCGGAACATTCAGCTCTGACTCGTCATCAGCTGCAACATAGGAGTTTGAGGTATCCACTTGTTCCACCACGTGAACTGCTTTCTCTTTCAAGAGAGAGGCGGCAAGTGATGAAAAGGCCGTGTCGCTTTTCACACTGGACTCACTGGTACCGGTCAAAGAAACATCAGGGGCACTGGAAACATCCCCCTTACCCAGCTGGTCACCTTTATCATCCGGCCCTATGACTTTCACATTCTCGTTTGACCCTGGATCGATCCCACCTAATGAGAGCGATGCCTGAATTTGGTCGGACAGGTCGTGGAACTCGCAGTCTGCGGTATCTTCTTCGCCGTCTTCCTCGCCTTTGTCAACGTGCACATGGTCTTCTCCCCAGCCGCCGCTGCCTGCACTTGAAGCCGTACTTGAAACCGTACTTGGCCGTCTGCCGAACCGGTTGATAACGCGCGCTGACATGATAGCGGTGCGCCACCTCTTGCGGGCATCGAAATTTTCCCTGAGACCAGAGATGACATCGTGTTCGGTAGAAGCCTTATGCGTCGTCAACCACTATCAACGCCATCAGCACGGAATTATGTAGATGGCAAACTCGTGACTTACATGATTATTCAGAGCTTGTTGTGCAGTAGGTCGTTGCGATGGACGGGTGTTCAATAAAAGTTTAATAAATGTCTTCGCTGTATGGGTTGATATTAGCACACATACAGCTAACGTTATCAACCATCAGCGTACCCTCGCTGGAGACTTTGGACCAGTATTGCTCGTGAAACTCGATCTTGGCTTCTGTGGTCTCCTGAATCATCTCGTGTGTATCGTCTCCTCTGAACGGCGAGTAACCGCAGAGCAGAACATAAGCGATGATACTGCAAGGAGGTCACAGTGTTAGCGCGGTCAGATTTCAATCACGGGTTTGATATAATAAACAAGCGCTTACCCCGTTGACCAAATATCAACCGCTTTCCCGTGCCCTTGTTTGTTAAGAACCTCGGGAGCGACGTAGCCAAAGCTCCCAGCCAGCGAATGAAGCTGTTCTTCCGGAGAATGCAAATGTTTTGCACTTCGAAGAAGGCATTATTGAGACGTAAGTTCAGAAAGGGTGGGCCCTCACATTCCGAAGTCGGCGATCACAATATCGCTATCCGGGTCCTTTGTTCGGTATAAAATATTCTCAGGTCTGTACACGTATTAGATCAATGATTCGACTTCCTCAATTCAAAAGAACATACTTCAAGTCCCTATGCACGATATCATGATCGTGTAGGTACGTCACTCCCGACAAGATGGACCTGAGACGATTCGTCAGCTTGCAAACAGTGTACAATTCGTGTAACATACCGAATAACTGTAACGGCGTCATTTTCGGTAAATTTTCCTTTTTGCAAAATACGGTCAAAGAGCTCGCCACCGACAGCTAGCTCAAAAGCAAGATAGTATTTGGATCGGGACTCGAACCATTCATAAAACTTGACCTGCATTGATCTTGGAGGTCAGACACGCACGAGAAAAGCCGGCCGCAAAATACGAACAATATTGGGGTGGTCAAGACCTCTTAGGACATCCATCTCACCCCACACAGCAGCTTCGTTGCCCTTTACTTTCTTCTTCGGAATGACCTTCAGTGCAACCTCTTTTACTACCGTGACGTGGTTATGTCCCCCTGGTGATGGAGGGACGGAAGAGTTAGACGCTCGAGAAATGGTCCTCTTTATGTGATGCGGATGGAGAAGAGGAATGGAAGATCGACCGGGAGTGTGGTCGGTCGGAGATGATGGCGATGTTGGGAACGCCCCCTTCCGCGAAACATCGGCTAGCTCAGGGGGAACTTGCCATGTCGCTCTCTAAGGTGCATGGTTGTGTAATTGGAGTATTGATGTGACAACCACGCAGGAGGGAGATATGCCTCAGAGCCATACCGTACGGGTCGGTAATCCAAAAACTCACCATGACTTTTCCAAATGTCCCTGATCCAAGAATTTCGTGAATTTCATATGATTGTTTTTTCATGAAACTGGGAGGCTGAGGAAGCAAGGCTTCTTTCAGTGATAAGTGTTTCATGGCAGATACGGTGGGGATTGATGGCGCGTTCAACGTAGAGGGAATGTGTCCAGCGTTCAGCAGCAAAGAAATAGTGCAGGAATGCCCAGAAACCTGTATGGTAGGCTGTGAAGCAAGCCCTATTGAACGTTCTCAGGGCATCGCCATGGCGCTTGCTCCTACATTAGTTATCTGATAAAGAAAAAAAACCTACCTATATTCGATCATTCTCAGCAATTGATGACAAGATTACTATGACATTAGAGAGCAGGCTAAATATTAAAATATGAGATGAAAAAAGCGCAGATAAATGAGTAGATAAACGAAACAAAACAAGCAAGAGGCATATGTTTAACGAGTAACTATGCCACTGAAAATATGTATTGGTCTCGACAGTAATATTACAATCTCAGAGGCCCATCTGAATCGATGATTCTTTCAATGGCCAGTAGAAGTAGTAGGCGCAACGCCCACTGGGCCGGTCTCAATGGTCATTGAGGCGGCAACTGAAGTAGCCGATTGGTAGCTACATGACGGAAAGGAAGATATCAATATTTGGGCGATACTGTACTGGCACACGATACTCACGTAGAGTTTGCAGCCGAAGTGTTGACTTTCTTATCGAGAAGAACACTATCAATGACATGGACAACTCCATTGGACGTCAAAACGTCTGATCGCATGATGTGCGCCCAATTAGAGCCAGCACTAGACACGTACACTCCAGAGGAGTTGGTCTTGAAGACGAAGGGTTCTCCAGAGGCCGAAGTATAATTATTTCCGTTTGTAAACGCTGGCGAGTAAACAGTCGTGCCGTTGATAACCTGGGTCGGGAGTCAAACCAAGTAAAATGAGCTACATGAAAGGACAGACGTGATTTCCGAAAAGAGCGATCAGTGCAGTAGTATTTGGCAGCAGACCGCCAATACAGCTTGCTGTCGCAATAGCAGAATTATTGGGTGCAAAAAGTGTAATACCGCTAGCATTGTTGAGCACATTGAGCAGTGTGGTCGAATCATTGGTAGGGACATTGATGGATGAAAGCGCACCAGCAAGGGTGGTGACGTCGTAAGTACTATTAGAGAGAGTATCAGACAAGTTTTGAGGGATCTTAAGGACGGAGTCGATGACAAGGACTTGGAGGTTTTGATAGACCGTCTTGTTCACGACCGAAACCGTTGTACTAAATGCCACTTAGAAGCAATTAATCGATAGACATCGAAAGTCTCACCCATTGTTGAGCACAAATATGCCGTCACTTCCGTTTGACCACGCTAAAACCTGCGATTTATTACCCTCCAGCTGGACAAGTGAGGAATCGTTAAGCAGTGTTCGCCCAAGAGTGATGTTGGGATATGGCGAGGTTTGTTCGGTAAAATTGCCGTGGACGATATGGTATGAAAGGAGATTCAGAACAGATGTTGGGTCACTTGTGAGATTGATAGGAGCGGAACTGACTGTAAAACAAGGATGGAGTGCTATCCTTCGGTCGCATATTGGAGTACTCACATGCCTGATTGCTGGGTGCAAACAATGTCCAGTTACCTGTAGAGAGTGACTGCGCCACCTGCTGCCCAATAGATGAGCTGTTTAATGCAGCACTCGCAGACGCCAACGTTGTAAGCCCATAAGTGTTTAAGGCCTGGACAAGGCCATTAAGGTATTGCTGCCAAGACTGCCCGAAAACAGCAGGGAGAAGAGTGAGAAGAACAAGCGATGTAAACAACATGATAATGATATGATGAATGTTCGGAAGGACAGTGATTTCGGGGTGTTCTTGAAGATATATGATTCACCCACCATTTGTAAGAATCATGATGCAATGCGCAGCGCACTTCAGATCTCTCTATTCACTTCGCCCCCCATGATCGGAAAGTCATAGGGGCCTTCCGAGCAAAGCGCAGCTTCTGATGCCGAGAACATGCCGAGAATGAAATCTGGTGGAAAGCGAGTAGCTTATTTGTGGTGTCGGAGAGCTACTTAACAGGATCAACAGGACAAGTACTGGAGGAGACGATTTACCTACTTACTAGCTAGCCCTTGGTGCGCCTGAATCGTCGAGTCGCAAATCGATGGTTTAACTATACGATTTGATGCCATGCTGACTAAGTGCAGTATCTCAAACTCCGCGATGCCCTTGCCGCTGGGAACGTCTGTGCACTCGACCTTTTTTCATTCCCAAAGCACCACACCACAGAAACACAGCATGGCTCGTCGGGCAGCACCAGCAAACGCAACACCTGCATTCTTCGCAGCGCCTGCACGCCGTCAAATCGTTGATCCAAACGAGTCTGCTTTATCCCGCTTCATTCGAGAGCAAATCACTGCTCCAGAAAAATTACCCGGAAACATCAGCATCGTGACGGGAATGAGTGTGTTCGTAGCTGGCATATTTGTCGCTAGGACATGGGGAGACATGTTGGTACCTGCGTGAGCGAGGCAGAAACAAATAGCAGGATGAGTTTGGCGGTGTTCTCCTGCGGTGGCCGTCACTACCCCAAAAATGGCTTGGTAAGTCAGTTGTTTGTAGTGTGGATAGGGACTCCTGACTTATCGACCACTTAGAAAGCTGTTGACACATCACGTTGCACCTGCATATCTCCACCTTGATCCTTCCATGACCGAACGTAATAGCTAGCTCACCCATAATTTCATCCAGTCCTAGAGAGTTGGATAGGTTGTTCCCAATGCATATGGCCATTTATTGTGATTGCGTCCCATCAGGTCACCTGAATGCTGGTTACAGCAATGTTAGGCCGAAAGATGGGCCACGTGCATTGCAACCACTGCTGGCTATGATTCATAAAGTTATTCGCACAAGAAGCAACCCATATTATCGCAAGTTCTCAAAATCAGTTTTGTATGGAACGTTGGTCAAATAACTGACATGCGTGATAAGTGTTCACCTTCCAATCCGCGGCAAAGAACACCGACAAAATAGGTCATTTTCCGGAAATATTGACAACCGATCGGAACCTGTATCAGGGTGCGTGCATGCGTATCTCCACAACGCGATCTGGTGGCATGATGTAGTCTAACGTTGCTGCAGAAAATATTTGCACCATGGTCTGGTCTTATTATTTTATTGAATTTATTCTATTTCACTTTACGGAATGGAGGGGGGAAAGCGCTTGTGCTAGTGGGCCACAAGAGTTCGGTTTCCCGCGCTCGGCCCATAGTTTCAAGCTCAGAAGAGTGTTGATCGTTTCCGATTGTTTTCTATAACTACCGTGGGCAGTTAGTTCTGTTTGCCACGGCACCCCCTCCCACCTTGTGAGCGATCTCCCTACGACGTAACTGTCGCCACTCACGTCCATGCGCCAGCAAGATTCGTGGTCGAGACTACCCGTTTGTAAATCAGTATTGCGCTTTATGTACATTTTTATTTAAAAAAACACCCCCAGCCTCATCAGGGAAATAGGTGTGCCGGGGGACACATAGCGAACACCTGAAATGTACCTGCGGCTTTCTACCTTTCTGGGGAAAACTCGGACAATGTCCTTGTCGAAGTGTGCCCTGCGTTAACTGGATCTGGAACCACGCGTGAGTAGTGCCACACTTTACAGTTTGAACTACTTACCCTGAATTGACACTAGCAAGACCCTAGCCACATCCAGAGCACCACCGTACCTGGTCACTCGCTACCATCCGACCTGCGGCACGGTGACAGGAACGCGCCGGCGCTGTGCTATCAGGAAATTGACCACCGAAGTCCCACATATCGCCGACAGGCCTAAGTCGTGCTTCCTCTATTCACGGTTCGGGTTGATGCCATTGATTCTGGGCCATCTCCGGCAGATTTATGAACAACCTACGCCATTGCTATGATGTGAAGACCGGGATTGGAAAGTCACAGTTAGTCACCAGCCTAATTATCTGAAGATGTGTTCGACACATGTTCGTCCTATTCTATTTTCTGCAACTACGTTGACCTAAGCATGTACTTTGTTACCGCCGCTTCCCTTTAGCCCCATCCGCCCTGCCGTTGAACCAGAACAGCCCAGGACCTTGGTGACCATATGCCAGCATGTTGTCTTCTGATGGGAGTGGCGGGGAATTGGAATAATACAGCTGCGGAGCACCACGTATCTCTGTTCTTTTTTTTTGCGGCTCAGTGTCAGCAAGATCATCATGAATCATGTATCGCGGTCTAAATAAATATTTGGATTATATACATTTGTTATGCCAAGTTCATCCTATGCCTATACTTATTAATCGTGATACAGATTCATTTGTACGAAGTTCCTGACGATGCATTCTACAATGGAATGCAGCACTTTTAGCTGAATCCAGGATCGTGGCGCCGCTCGGTCAGGTGTGAAATCATTGCCTCCATGAATAAACAAACTCATCCAGGATCGCTTCTCCTGGAGGTTGGCACTCGCGAGCATGGGTGATCACTAAGCGATCATCCCAGTTCTTTTCGGGCTAGACGGAGATCGTCAATCCACCGTTTGAGTTGCAGGGTCATGATAGATGTTCAGATACTTGACAGTGTACGATGCAGGTACTAGAAAGCGAAGCAAAGCAAAAACATACGATATGAGAAGAGCGCGAGAACAGTGTCAGGGCGATAGCAGAAAAGCTGAGCGTGTAGCGTGAATGATGAACTAAGATATATGAAATCCCGTACTATGATTAGGCATCTACACTGCAGAGAAGTATTCGTTAAATTCTACTGGTATTCGACAAGGTTCATCACACTACTGGAGTTGAGAGGCAGAATCTGTTTCCGATCCAGCGGGGCAAGTTGTGTTCATTGACGGCGTGTGCGAGTACACCGAGATTGGCTGCACGGGTGTAAACGGTACCGGGGCAAGAATATTCCGAGATTGCGTGTGGTATTGATGGATGGTTGAACCACTACTTTGCGGATATCCCGCTGGCAATGCTGGGGCTGTGGAATATTGACGACTATGGTATGTATCCTCTTGCCTGGGTGCCGCTGAGCTCCCTTGAATGTGGTCGACAGCACCGTAGTGATGAGAAATGTCAGATATCTGCGACGGAGATTGTTGGGCTGTATAAGCGTTGTGAGAGCTGCTCTGAGACGGATAGAAAGGAGAGTTTAACGTGGGAAAGCCATAGCTCGAGGAATGGACCGATGGATTGTTCGAAGCTGGTGGCTCCGAGGAGTCAGCACCCCATGATGACGGTGATGTCTGAGCTACTTGGTACTGACGATGCATGTCGTCCCCAGAGTGTAAGGACGGTTCCGAACCACTCTGCAACCAAGATTGGACAGGTATGCGCGCTAAATCGTCTCGACTAGAGCGACTGGAGGGGTGCCATTGCGCTTCACTTCCACTCTGACTTGGCAGGTAAGCTGACTGGGCATGGGCTACATTGTGACCGAAGGAGGAAAAATAAACAGTATTCGCTGATCCGTGAGGTGCGGATGTGGATGTGCCCATAACGGCATCAGGTGTGATGCGCTCGTGAGAGGACGGGTACGGTGCCCGTCTGTCATTTGCATTATGGGCATGATATGGCAACGAATCAGCCGGTTGATAACTCGACGCTGGCGCCGGAGGCAAGTAGGAAGTATCATATGTGGCTTCCGTGGATGTAGAGACTTCTGGTCCGCTGCTCTCATATCTTTCTTGAGAATCATGATGGTATTCGATAGGAGATATCTCGCCATACTCTGGATTGGAAGACTGATCGTCGACTGAGTCTGTGGTCGAAGCAGAGTCTCCAGCGCCTGTGGAATCTGCTCTTCGCTTTTTGCGGCTGTTGTTCGGTCTCCGTCTGTAAACGTAATCCGGGTACTTGAGATTGAAATTATCCTTCAGGTGTTTGGCTTGATCAAGGTAGAACTGCTTCTCGGGCTGAATGATCTCAAGATCAGAACTACCGTCGCGAGCGTGGGGAAAATAAGTTACCATGTCCATAGCATTCCATTCTCGACTTAAGACTTTGCTGACATCCCCCGTCCGCATTGCTTGATTTTCCTGCGGAGACTTGGGGACGTCTCCTGCGAGCAAAAATCATGAATGCATTCATGGGACGCTTAGGCGTGCCATCCGCATTCAAAGTTTGGGATGTCAGGGAGGTGCTTGTGTCGTCTGAAGTTATTGGAGTGAGATGTATCATTATGAAAATAGAAAAGATAGCTCACCGTCGGTATCTGCGTCCACCTTGTTTGCATCCAGATACTGACATATAGACCCCAGCGTCGTCCTCCGAACCTGAGAGAGACCCCTGGTCTTCGACCCTTCCGAGTCCTTCATTGAAGGAGACATTGAAAGGGCCGGAATATTCCGCTACCATTCCATGCCTTCCTTCTCGAATGAAGCGGTTCATGTCAACAATAGCGGTGGGGAACGAGTGAAAGGTTTCAAGCTCGAATAGTATCAAAGAACAAACTCCCGCTTTTTTAAGCGCAAGTGATGTTCCAGACGGGATTGAAAACTAGACTGAGACTGCTTGACAGTCCTGGAATCAGTGACCTGTTCGCTCCTGACACGGTGAGTTTTGAAGAGGTTTTTTGACGTACTGAAATCAAGGAATAACGCATGGTGAAGTGAACCGGAACAGGCAGAATCATTAAGTCTGATCGTGAAAGTAGAGTGAACCTAGTAAAGTGGTGCCTTCGGAATTCGCGGAGCTCGTTTCCTCGGGTACTTGGCTCGCAATTACTGAGGCCGAACGCCGCTGGCTATAGCAACCTTGCCATCATGAGCACTGGCGACTGCTCAAATATTTCTCCGCTTCGAAATATCCAAAATCGTGGTTGTCAAACCTGATTCCAGCATTTCCCATTAATTATGCGTCCAGAAAACCGAATGCCCATTCAGGCTAGATCTGTGCGAATCGAACGTTGAAGGCCCTTAATTTTTTGGCGCTCAATCCCCAAAAAGTAGACTCGTGTGGTGTTGTTACCGACTCAGAAGCTTGTCAGGGCTTGTCCAAGGATAGCTATAGTCATGGCCAAAAACTCTTTTTCGACACTAGGTGACTCGTGCCGAGCGCGAGGCCAAATATTACGACTTGGGTTAACCCAGGTTGGTCTGCCAGTAAGACTTTTTTACTATCATACCTCCGATTGTTTTATGAGTGAGGACCATTTGATCATTCTGCTCCGGCGGAGATTGCTGAGAAATGATTTTCACGCTACGCGGAAGTAAAGCTTCCACTACTAGATCACAGGTGCCGGTGAAGCACAGGTTCAATGTGATTATTTGACACAGTGTTGTGGGGTGTACAGGTCAGTCCCGTTACTCCGACAGGCGCCGCTGTGCTTACTCGGAGATGGGCTCTAGGTTGCATGTACAACTGCACACTTTCCATTCTCGGTTCGGACATTTCCGCCGCATCTGCTCTAGGCCAGCCACGAAGTTATCTCTTTCTTGCTTCCTCTCATTGCACGCTGCATGCTTCTTTCTGCTGAACTTGTCGACATGGACCCTAGGTTCAGGGAGCACCCTAATTCCTTGCCTGCTTAAAGTTCTTGCACAGGTATATTATGTATCACTTGCTGCGCATCTTCTGACTCCGATCAAGATCATGACATCTTGCAGCAAGCCTACTAATGGTCCACACTTGGGATAGTTTGCTTTGTGAATGCTCTTTCGGGACGAGTCCAAGGAACAAGGCGTACTCGTGGTCTTTCTGCTCAGGAAAGCCTTAAGGGTCAACATGAAGACAGTTCAGGGTCAATCCGGGTGTGGCGCGAAAAAAACTTATAGAACAATTTAAGCACTAATTTTCTGAAGCTGAATTGTTGCATTGGAGATTTCCTGACACTGAAACAATTTTTCTGTGTTTGATTGGTGGAAAGGCTGCGAGCAACTGTTGATCAGTGACTAGATTGAGAAGCTGATTGGCACTTCCCGTCGGCTGCGCGGGATTTCGTCATATCGGCAATCTCGAGACGCGTCGTCTGGCGATCTCGTTCAGATCCACATGTTGCAGTTATCGCCAGATCTGCGCGAAGACAAATTTGAAATAGCAAAACCTTTTCTCATGTGGTGTGACCCTTCAGCGCTTCAGCTTCAGTACCTATGATACGCGCGCTGGGTACTGCCGCCGGGAGTCCAGGATCAACGAATTTGGCCTCGTCGTGGCACAGCTACCAGGTTTGCAATAACTTGCTCAATGACTTTTGATCACACCGTTATGATTCCTCTCAGGCAGACTCGAAATTCGGTAGCACCCAGACTTTCGGTGGTTGTTCATTAATATCGCTTCGTAGCAAGAGAAGATCTCAACACGATCCAAGAAAGTTGTAGATGTGCCTGGAATTCTTCCGAGTCGACTGCTAGTGCATCCGATCACTCGAGTTATCGCCTTCATGGCATTGAATGTAAAGGCAACAAGGGAGCCAAAGATGGACTGCGCTATCGATGATCTACGTCGATGCTATTGTTGTCTTAATGGTTTACTTTTCTAATACTGCACAATAGAGGGATTGTATGTATGTCTCTGAGGAAGGGGCAGCGATTACATTCTCTTCTCGAGGACTTCCCAGTCCCCAGTTATCTGACTCCCAAAGTTCCCCGGGGCCCGTGCCACTGATAGATAGCACCCGCTGGACGGCACGATGCTCGATGCAGACGCTGAAGAACCCCCGGTAATCGCTGTCCAAGAGAATATCATCTCGTTATCAGTCACCGTGTTAGTCCAAGTGGGGACAAGGTGATCTTGCAAGAAGGCACATATCACAATGTGCTCTTACCTTTTCTTCTTCTGAAGGTACTCCAGGACGACGACACGCAATGAGTTGGACAACTTTCCACGTATCTGCCGAGAGGGGATTGCTCTCCTTCATCTCTCGTGGCACCATTGTGGGATGTGAAACATGGTGCAGTCAGCAGAATTAGCTGTGCAGATCGCCGGGTAGCTGTATTCCGGCGTCATCCTTGATTTACGCCGACTTCCCAAGTCATCGAAATTTAAAGTTACACCTGGTTGCAGCCACTCGCGATGACGATATATTTTTCCAGTGAAGAGTGGCGAAAGCACTGCAATTCCAACTTCGATGATTATGGTACAGCACAAACAACCTCGGAGACCGTAGGACAACGCCACCGATTGCGGCATACATAAACGAACAAACTAGACTGTCAGCTAATCCGTCGTCGCCCCACGTGGTTCCCCGGCATCACTTATGTAAAGGATAGAGTTCATGTTGAGACAGTAAGGAGGGCACAAGGTGCGACCGCCAGAAAGTTGGGCTCGAAAGTTCCGGATCAAAGCCCAGATCTACGTAATTGTCCTGGCAATGATATCACGAAAGCGTGTCAAAGGAAGTAAAAAAGGGGGGGGACATGCAAAGGGACAACAAGGTTTTAAAGTATGAAACACCAATCGGAGGTACGGGTAATGCCTTTGATCTCCATGCGGGATTTCGAAACAGTCATCCGAATATCCCCTTGCAGAAGCACAGAATGTTCTGTCGGAAGTCGGGTTGTCAGACGTCATGCATTCATGCATTGAATGTTAGAGGTGTGCGGCAACTGACCAGCAACATACCGATTTGACGTTCGAATGATTCCCCTTGAGACGTTCCGAAGCCACGATCAGGCTTGAGGCTCCGGTCCCTGAAATAAAATTTTGTTTCAATATCAATGTCTACCGTTCATGCTTATCTTGCGTGATTTCCAACATCCTTGCTGTGTCACGGCCCGCGGGTGATGCGCCGCTCGTTTCTATGGCCTGCTAATATGATAGCCACATGAGTCCTGGATTCCTGTAACCGTAATGCTACTTGTTCGCGCCCGATGCATCGATGAACAGCAAATCTTAACTTACCGTCAACACTGTTAAATTATAGTGCCACGTTTTAACCAGTATATCTCACTCCTCAGGGTAAGCTACTCGTGATGAGGATAGCCCAATTGTTTCAGTAATTCCGTATTTATGTATCCCCGTGCGTAGATTAATATTGTCGAGTTTGTACGAGCATCACGTGAGGTGACAAGAGTGTGACATTGGTTATTCGGTCTAACATGTCATGCTCCATCGGAGTCAGTGGCAAGTGCTCACCACTGCGAGCTACATCATGAAAGATCGCGTACAGGATGCAAGTGAGTAAAATATCGGTTTCCCTTAAATATTGACGTGACTGTCCATCCAGATTTTCCCAAGACAGAGGATGGTCGAGTTTACCACTTGGGTATACGAGCAGGAGAGGTAGCTAACCGAATTGTAAGTCAGAGGTGTTTCCCGCCTCTTCCAGCAGCTCATAAGTGTATGAGATTACTGTTGGGTCTATGTCACGAGCAGAGGGTATCGCAAAGATGCTGGACGCCTCCCCAAAGTTATTTTCCCTGTACTCGGAACGCGGTTTCCTTACCATCACAGGTTGCTACAAGAGTGTACCAGTATCCATAGTATGCATAGGTATGGGCGCACCTAATGCAGATTTTTTCATCCGCGAAGTCAGAGAATGCTTGCGTGGAGACATGCTTGTAATAAGGTCGGAACAGTCATCACAATCACGCTGAATTGTCGGACTAACGGGCTGTATCGGAAGGCTGGGGTCATGTGGTTGCTTGACTGACCTTCCCGTAGGATCGCTCGTCCTGCCCGTATCGAGCGTCGCTTGCACCCGAAACGTGGACTTCGATTTTGCTTCCTGCGATCCTTGGGAGGTTCCATACAGGTTGAGCAAGCCCGTCCGCATTATCATTGCTACTTTCACATCCGTTTACTCACGGAACGTAACCACCCCTATCAGGTCCCAGCAGATCCAGACCTTCATAGAGCCGTAAGTTGAATAAGGTACTACTTTATGAAGCCATCGCTCATTCCCAAGGTAGCTGTATGATGCCCTTGAAGCAACACGGCCATCTTCGCTCAAAAACCCTGTGGTTTCGAACGCTGTCAACGCATCGACCGACAGGTAGATGTTAATTTACATACCCTCGCCGCATTCCATCACTGATATGAAAGAAGTTTCTACTCATCTCAAGGGAGACAGACGTCCTTTCAAGACCACAATGCTTCTTTGATCGATCACCTCAAAGCCGCTGTATCTGGTCTGACAACGCTAGAGGTACGTGTTTCTTCACCGAAATCATGGACCTTGTCTTCGATAGACGGGGACTTCCTCCATAGATGGAAACGTTTTGGATATTCCATCTTGCGGCCAGCTGGCGTGGAGTTAAACAGTCGAGTTCGGCTGTCAATCCGCCATTAGCTACGGTTCCAGTCGTACCAGCATTCTCGGGAATACCCAGCGGGACATCAGAGAAGGTGGAAGTGCTCCTTCCTAGTCTCGATGAAGATACTTCTTCCAGACCGGTGATTAGGGCTGCGGCCGCCCAAATGGTATTCGCTTCACGAAGCTCTCAAGCGTTTATCAGTCCAGACCAGGTGAACGAGCTCGAAAAATGGAGTGGCCAAGGCGTGCTCGAAGCCCTTGTCAAATTCGATGTAGCCCCTGAAGTACGTATATCGATCTTTGTATGGTCTGCAATGCTCAGATTCGAGTTCTTTGATAGAAACTGCACCCTGTTTCTGGAAGTGTATGGAGTCTAATAGAACCTTCCAACCCACCGAGGGCGTTGTTGTAACAATCCAGCTCCGAATCGTCTTTAATACCACAGGGATGTGCACCGCTTGCACACCGCGAAATCGTGTCAAACAGGGAGATCCTTTTACTGGCTAAACCCTACAGCCTGCGGCCAATTAGACAAATTACATGATGTCAAACCCTTTTTTCTGTTAGCGCCTATCGCACAGTGAAACGGGATGAACGCGCAAGGCACATTATCCCACTACCGTCTCTTGTCAAATAACAGGCCTGCATATGCCTTCTGAGTTCCCAAATTCGACTTGAAATAGCGTGGCAAGACTTGTGGCAACCATGATGACGCTAGCCTCAAGAATAGCATGCGGAGCTTGGAGTTACTTTAAAGGATACATTGCTAGACCGGCTATTATGTTAGTTCTGTGACGACCTTCCGCGATGATCGTCGAGGTGAGTGAGTGCATCAAAAATCAAACATGAGGGACTTACAGGTTCAGCTTCATCACCGTGCTTCGCGGAAATGTGATCACCGATATACAACAACTGTACCAAATTCCTCAAGCAATAACGCTTCGTCCTCACTGATCTGGGGACAATCATCGACATTAACGCAGGCGATGGGAACAGGGCGCAAAGCCTCCTCGATAGGAATCAACGTCGACGGTGCTCCGTGGGAATTTTGCGTTATATGTGGCTTCGCGGGAGAAGACGGGCCTCCCCGTGGAGACGCCACGCGCGGTTTTTTCAAGGGCCGTATCTTACGGCCTAGAACCGTAGAAACAACGCTAGGCGCGTCCTTCTGAGCCTTCATGAGCATGCTGTTGCCTGCCGGCTGCGCACGCGCAAATACAGCTGCAAACAAGCTTTTAAATTTGAAGTCGGAGCAGCCCCAGAGTGTTATCCTTTCTAACTTTGGACAGACTCTAACGCCACATCCACGCGTTGCTTTGCGTTCCGCATCCATCGCGAGACCGTATGCCTCAGCAAGCGCTTCTAGCATGCCGTCCACACCAGTGCACGATATCAGCGTCAATGATACGAGGCCCGGCATGTAACCAAGCATGAGCTTCCCGTGCCCGGCAAAGACATCAAGATGTGACAGCGTGAAATGCGTAAGGTGAGGGAGACGGGGATCGCGAAATACATAATCAAGGCGCGGGAGAGGATGTTTGTGGTCACAATTTGGTGGGCACTTTCCGGCGTATGCAAATTCGAGTTGCTCGAGCACAGGGAAGAAGAATTGGCGCAGCGAAGAAATGAGGGAGTCACCATCTTGACAGCTGATGCACAGCTCCTTGAGCGCGGTCATGAATAGGACGCCTCCGAGAGGCTCTGCCTGGATGAAGGAATCTGGTTCGTCCCAATGATTACCGCGAAGCGAGCTGACGTCATTCCTCCTCGTTGGGGAGTTGGCGATTAGAATTTCCCATCGTTCCAATGCAGGCATACCAAAGAAAGACATGAAGGTGTACACATCGCGAGGGTATGCGAACTTCCATGTGAGGCTTCTGAGTTTAGGTAGTTCAAGGGGGGCCACGACGGTGAACCGATTGTCGGCTGTCTGTCCCTCGCTGTGTTCCTCAAGCACAACATCACGAAGCGGTGTGGTTTCCGTAAGAACTAAATCTTGGAGCTCTGGAATAAAACTCAGGAAATGGTGCACATGGGACATTCGTAGGATGTACTGAGGAGCACGATGGGATCTTCGCTGAGGGAAGGAGAGCTCGAGAGTTTGCACAGACCGTAAAAGAGATGGCGAAATGACACGCGGTGGTAGTTGTTGAAGACGGAGGTAGGTGAGGACGCTCGGTGTGTCGGAGAGACTCTGTCCATCCAGTTCATCCAGTACGAGTAGTGGTGTGCCCGCAAAGCATGGGGCAAGGCTTGCGAAGGACAGATCCAAGGAGCGTAATGACTTTAATTCGTGAAGGTTATCTATGAGTACTTCGACAATGAGTCGCATACTCGCAGAGGATGTGCACTCGAAGGTGATAGAGCGCACGCGAGAGAGGTGAGAACTCAGCATGTGGAGTAGACCTTCAGACGCTAGCCGCTCGTCCTCGGCAGCGTCATTGTCATCAACATGGTACGGTGGGGGAGAGAAAGTGAGATCGAGCAGACTAGAACCTGAGCGATTTATGAACGCGCATACCGGAGACGTGGACCACTTTCTGCTCCTGTAAGAAACGCGCGACCACAGTATAGAAGTGGCAAATGCGAGTTTGCGCCATTCCCGGCATACGTGTGTTATAATGACGGGCGATGAATTATACGCGAGACCTGCTGAGGTGTCTGAGTCGTTGTCCTCCGTCACAGAGACAAAGATTTGGATAAGCAGCTCCGAGGGCAGCCAGTTGATCGGATGTCTCTGACTCTCTAGCTCCATTATTTGAGATGCGAGTGCCACTTGCTCGGCCTTGACTGAGTCTCTAAGACGGGCCATGTCCTCCAAAATACGGACGAAGTCATCCTCACGACGCTGCAGGATAGCGATTTGAGCTTGCAAGACTTCAATCTCGTGGTCAATTGCGATGCTGCTCTTCTTAGACATGTCGAAAACAGAATGACGAAGAAAGAGGAGGATTTGAGCTGTTCATTCACAGAATGAACAGACTTGAACTTATATCAAAGCTTGTGCCAAACAAACATCCTTGGTGTGAGTTGTCGACAGCAACGTTGTGGCGCGCTTTGTTCGGTCAAGGTGATATCATATCCGCAAAAGCCTGAACTAAGTACATACGATACTTATCGTAGACTCACGCCCTACGCTACGGAGCTATTTAATTCATTATCGTGCTAAAGCAGTCAAATCAGAATTCGAGACAGTCTGATGATCGCAGTACCTGAGGCCACAGGAAAGTACAAGCACAAATGCCGTTTGCAGAAGACTAGGCCAATCGTCAAAAATAAAACAGCGCTGAGTACTGAGTGTTGTTGGAATTGTAATGTCCGATCTGATACCACGAGTTCTGGTTATGCAACGCCCTGAGCAACCATCCAATGGTAGTTGATTGTCGGAAGGTGATTTGACTTTTGTTTTGGGACTGGCTAAGTGTTCTGCAAACAGTTGTAATAGGCGTTAAAGGGCTCCTTACTTAGGTGCATTGCAAGCACTTGATATACAGTGATAGCTGGACGTCAGTGACCAAACATTGAAACTTCAAAATAGACCAAGTAGTATGGGAATTGCCGTACATTCAGCACAGCTTTTCAGCAAGTCGTTTCGGTGATTCGGGTCCTTTTGTGAAATTCTTATTTGGTCATGGCCAGGTGTCGGGGATAAACTGCACATCATGAAAGTGTACCAGCGCTTAAAATCATAGACTCGACTGTAAATCGAGTTTCGGTAGAATTCTCTCCCACAATCTGAGACTGTGCCTCGCTGTCGGGCACCATTTGGTGGCCAGTATGTACTCAATTTCCGCTCTGACTCAATCAAGTGAGTACTCATACTACTACCCATGTGACTCCTGTTCCAACGGATGGGACTACAAAGTTAAGGCCGACTTATTGCTGAGACCTTGAAAGTGATTAGTGATCTTTTCCCAAGCGCGGTAGTCAGCTGGTCTTGCGAGCTCGTCCGTATGATCATCATGATGATGCTCATGATGTGGCACGAGGACTTGTCAACACGAGTCTGTACGTTACTGACCTGATTCTTTTCATTTATCTCTCACAGGTGATTTAAATTATCCCTTCCGAAATCCCGCTGCGATCGTAAGGGGGAGTATATTCGGGCCATAAGTATAAATGCAATCCCATCAGATGAGGTTCATCACCAGCAACAGTACTGTCGTCCTCTCAGGTCCGCTGTCATGTTCACCTTGCTCTTGAGTGTCCTGTACACCCTAGTGCCTACAGTCTGGGGAGAGGTTTCTCAGCGTGCTACCCTAGGAAACAAGCTCGCTTCCAATGGCACCGGAACGCCTTACTCGATGAATGTCACAGACTGTCCAGGTAGGACAGAAGTTCAAGCTTTGTAGAGTTGCCACTGACATGATGGCGGGTTTCAGGATACACTCTAGGATCACTTCAAGAGTCTGACATTGGTCTCACTGCTCAGCTCACACTCGCTGGACCGGCATGCAATGCTTTTGGACTCGATATCGCAAACCTCACAATCGAAGTCACTTACCAATCACAGTCCACGTATATCATTTTCCGAGTCTTTTAGGTGCAGCGCTAATGGCTGGTTTCAGTTTACATGTTAAGATTTATGATACTGCCAACCAACAATTCACAATCCCCGAGTCGGTGATCGAACGACCTGCCGCACCAACGACATCTTACACGGGCAACTCCGATCTTGTATTCAACTTCGATGCAGCGCCTTTCGCATTTTGGATCACGAGACGCTCTGACCCGGACGCAATGCCATTGTTCGACACGAGAACTTCATCGTTGCCACCAACACCTATCCCGCCTTTCAATGCATCTGACCCAAGCACGGCGTTTGATGGTTTCCCTCTTGTATTTGAAGATCAATACCTCCAGGTGTGCATCCATCATTCCCGCTGAGGTTGCGAATATGGCTTACAGTCACCAGGTTGCTTCCGCTCTGCCGTACGGCACCAATATCTACGGATTGGGCGAGGTAATTGCTAGCAGTGGATTTAGACGCGACATTGGGACAGATGGGGGCGTAGGCACCATTCAGACGCATTGGGCTCGCGATGTTGCAGATCCCATTGATCAGAACATGTAGGTCACATGGTTAGAAATGATGCTCTCGTGGCGATTCATAATCGTGTTTAGGTATGGCTCCCATCCAATCTACGTCGAACATCGGTACAATGCGACTACCGGAAAGGCGTCTGCCTCTGGTGTTCTTCTCCTTAGGTATTCAACTGCAACTGAATCTCAATGCAATCTGTTAATAGCATTCCTTAGTTCCGCGGGTTCAGATACCTTCCTGCAGACGCCCCCGAACTCCAAGGTATCATTAATCGAGTACCGCATGATTGGTGGTATCCTGGACTTTTACTTCTTCTCTGGTCCCTCGGATGCAGAAGTCATTGCCCAGTATGGTTCAGTCATCGGATACCCTATGTGGCAGCCAGCGTGGGGCTTCGGGTTCCACCTTTGCAGGTGATGTTCTCTGCATTGCGATTGGCGTGGAATAGACTCACTTGAGTCATACAGATGGGGGTACCACAATGTCAGCGATGACATCGAAAATGTTGCGCAGATGCGCGCGGCGGGCATCCCCCTGGAAGGTCTGCCATATTTTGGACACCCGTTACTCGTGATCCTCACTTCACGCTAGTTCAATGGAACGATATCGACTTGTACCACGCTTACCGCGACTTTACCACTGACCCAGTGAGTTTCCCCGGGGATGAACTTCGCGCGTTCATTCAAGAATTGGTGAGTATTCAATCATCCACATAGGTTCGCCCGGTCCTCATTCCAGTGAAAGGCCGCGAATAACCAACATTGTAAATGCGCTTGTACCTTTTCCCTCCCAAATTTGATCGAACTTGTCGTCAGATATTCCCATTGTGGATGTGGGTGTCGCTATCACGGTAAATTCAACCGACGTCGTAAGTTGACATGCTACTATGGTCCCATGCTTCCTGACCGTATCGTAATTCAGTATGATCCTTTCACACGGGGCGTTGAAGAGTCAGTTCTTTGTGCCTGGTAACAGGCTAAAGTGCTGAATGCATTACAGAGATGTGTGGATCAAGAATCCAGATGGGTCTCTGTACCTCGGTCAAGTCTGGCCTGGATACACCGTCAGTCACTTATGGCTCGTGGAACACTAACAATTGAACGTGCTTTTCTAGGTCTTCCCAGACTGGTTCAGTGAAAACATACTCTCTGTATGGACTGAAGCTCTCAGAAACTGGACTGAAATGGGTGTCGAATTCTCTGGTATTTGGCTCGACATGAACGAAGCAAGTTCATTCTGTAGTGACTCCTGGTAAGGCGAGCTTGTGTGTGTTTGGTTTGAAGCTGACTGACGAGAAGCGGGACCGGTGCGAACTACTCTGCCCTTGCTCCCCTGAGCGTGGCCGGTACGGTCGTCACCGGGTACCCTGAATGGTAAAGCAACTGTTTTGAGCTAATGTACTGAATGCTACTAACGATAATTGATGAAGCTACAATGAGACGATATGGGGACCTAGTGGGAACATGACTATCAATGGCACCTATACAAATTCATGCACAACAAGCTCTACTACGACTCTGGTTGAAAGACGTGACGTTGAAGGACGTGGTGTTGAAAGACGCGGCGTCGGTGCTGGTGGCGAGCAAGGCGTCGATCTCAACAGCCCGCCATATGCTATCCATAATGGCAAGTTTTATTTGTCCTATACTACGGTTTTGATCTGACTCGGAATAAAGCTATCGGATCCCTTTACCGCAACACTCTGGCGACGAACGCGACCCACTCCGGCGGATATGCAGAGCTCGACGTGCACAATATGTTTGGATTCATGGAGGAAAAGACAACGCACCTTGCGATTCAATCTATCATCCCCGGAAAACGTCCGTTCTTGATCAGCAGATCAACCTTCCCATCTGCTGGAAAATGGACTGGACATTGGGTATTTTGAATCCACTCGGCTGAATTGAGAGTGATGTTGACTTTTTAAATAGCTCGGTGACAACTACAGCAAATGGCAGTACATGTACCTCAACATTCAGGGCGTTCTGCAGTTCCAAATCTACCAAATTCCGATGGTTGGCGCTGACACATGTGGATTCAGTAAGTATCTTCCGCATGTAGATTGGCGTCCTGTTAACTATCTAAACAGACGATAACACTGACGAGGAGTTATGCAACCGTTGGATGCAGCTCTCGGCATTCGTTCCCTTCTACAGGAACCACAATACGTATGCTGCCCTTCCTCAAGAGCCTTACCGCTGGGAAAGTGTGGCAAATGCATCCCGCATCGCCATCGCTGCTAGATACTCCCTACTGCCGTACTGGGTAAGTGTGTACGTTTTCCAGTGATCAAGAGGTTGACAATAGACATACAAAAGTATACGCTTTTTGCCAACGCCTCTATGGCCGGCCTTCCGCCTGTCAGGGCGTTGTTTTACGAGTTCCCTGACGAACCTGAACTTTTCACAGTAGACAGGCAATGGCTCGTTGGAAGTGACATTCTCGTGACTCCAGTACTGACACCAGGAGCTACGACCGTCGACGGTAACAGTCCAAACCTCACCAATGACATCCCTGATTGACATACTATCTTACAGGTATCTTCCCGGCCGCGGTAGCGTAATCTGGCGCGACTGGTACACGCACGGCGCTGTGAATGCTACGTCTGGAGGGAACACAACACTGGACGCTCCCATCAGTCATATCAACGTCCACATCCGCGACAACTCCGTTCTATTGCTGCACCAAGAGCCCGGGTACACGATCTATGAGACTCGCGAAGGCCCCTATTCACTGCTTGTGTCTCTCAACGCAGCAGGCACAGCATTCGGTACTGCATATGTGGACGATGGGATCAGTTTCCCGCCTGGACCGAGTCGGAACCTCACATTCCAGGCTGCAGAAAGCACACTCAAGATTCAGAGCGAGGGTGCATATGGGATTGCGCAAAAGTTGGAGACAATCACTGTGCTTGGGGTGCAGAAGCCTGCCCAGGTTGAACTCCAGGGATCATCGACTGACGGTTGGACTTATAATGAGGCCACTGAAGAGTTGGTGGTGTCGAATGCGTCTGTCGACCTCAATGGACAGTTTACCTTAGCGTGGAAGTAGTTGTTCTCTCGCATGGACATGTTGTGCAAGTGCATTATTAGACCACCATTGGTTTCGGATAGTTGCACAACGTCATTGAGTGGTCCATCCTCGGTATGTCTGACTTGGAGGCGGAAGGGGATGAGAAGGTCCTGTAAGTTCACATGTCCGAATCATGCAGAGGTTGGGTGTGTAAAGAACGATTATATTCACTCATCGGCGGTCTGTCTAGGGGAGACTAGCAGAACAGAATTTACGAGGAATGTTGAATGCAGTCTGTATCAACTTCCGACTCCCTAAGGCAAGTATGTGCATACTACGTTACCGAGATCATCTTGACAAGGCCTGAAGGTGGATTGCTTGTCACGGACAATCAGTCGGCGACTCTCACAAATAAATCTCAGCAGATGTGCCCCGGCTGAGGTAGTGCACTGTAAGAGAAACAGATTTCGTGAATCGAAAAAAAAAATTGTTGTCAACAGGTTTCATACCAACGCTTCCGAAGGAATGGATTTCGAATCTGTTATAATACCTGCTTGGCTATGGCCGTCGAAACTATCATGAGCGAATTTTTAGGGTGTGATAAGAGCAAAAAGACTGTCATCAGCAGGTTTCAAACCTGCACCCTCCACGAAAACAGATTTACAATCTGGTAACAACCACTTCGCGTCCTTCAAGTTAAGTTAGACCCTCGATGATCTATCCACGAGTCAATGTCCAAGGTGTGATTATAGAAAAATGAATGTGTTGGCAGGTTTCGAACCTGCGTCATGCAAGCGGAGCAGATTTTGAATCTGTTTACGCTGACCACTTGGCTAGGACTAGTTAAGATGGATCACAAAAGAACAGTCATGTATAGATGTGCAAGTGTGATAACAAGAAAAACGGCGTAGCAAGTTTGCAGGCAGGTATCGAATATGCACTGTCCGGGAGGGCCATATTTCGAATATGGCATGGTACTCGCAGCGAGATGTTGCCTGGCATAGAACAGCATCACCATGGCCAGCGAAAACGGGAGGGCTCGGAGGAGCAGTGTTGGATGTTTGAGTGTCTTGGCCGAGTTCATTTTGGAGATTTAAACAGAGTGCCTGCGCGCGTGTCGACGCAGTCTCCAGCTGAACACCAATTGCATGATATTTGCCTGTGACGGCCTGAAGAGCAGGAGGGCGCATGGTGCAAGGCCACAACATGGAGCGGTACACAATGACCGTGACCGCGGTTGGCTTATTCTATGAGTCCGGGAACATTTGGTCCGAGACGAAGTGAAGTGTACCAGAGAAGAATCCATAAACGAGCAAGTGCGTCTTTTAGGCAGAATTAGTCGGGTCATAGCAGTTTGATGCGTTCGAACCTCGGTGTTCTACAAGGATGTTTTCTCGAGGTCATCATTTATAATGAAGTTCGTGATTGATCCACGCGAGTCCAATTTTTCAAACCTGATGGTGGGAATGCCATCAACAACGCCACTCAGTTTGACAGAGAAGTAGAGTGCGCTACCCTGACAGAACCGAATGTGAATGTCGATTTGGTCGGTTGCGGGAGCCAGTCGTGGCCTTTTCTACTCTTCCGTGTCAGCGGGCTCTTACTACTGTCGAGGAACCTTGTTGGGTCTAATAAGTTCTATGCACAAGAATTGTAACATGACTGCTAAAGGAAACTGGCCAGAGCTCTGGTTTCCCAGAGTCAGATTTTGGAGATCATCATGTCACATGATAGAGAGCTCGGTGATGTCAGAATCCTGGGATCGCGCGACTTTTCTCGAATCACGTGCTCGGTCCAGAAGCCCTGCGTTTGATTCATTTCTGAAACTTTTCTCTTTCGATCGCGTCTCATTACGTCGAGTCTCATATATATCACTATAATACTAGTTATCACAACGGCGCCACAATTATTGTTCATCTCTCACCTTCACCTCTTGAACCACTGATACAGTCGTAAGCATTCGTAAAGCGTTCGCTATGCGGCAGGGTGACCAAGATTTAATTTCGCGGGGGCAAGTAGGGGGTTTTAACGTCCGAAGTTCCATTCAATGGCCACACGTAAGATGCAAGAGCTCGCGTATATAAGTATAAATACAAACCCACCATACATTCCCCATCTGCAGCGGATTCTTTCTCTCAGGTTGACCTCATGTTTTCCTTGCTGTTGGGTGCCCTGTACGCCCTGGCCTCTACGGTTTCAGGAGTAGCCTCAACTACTGTTCGGCGCACCGCAACGCCTTACACAGCGAATGTCACAGACTGCCCAGGTTGGAGTGTGTTTTAATGTCTTGGGAGTTGACATTGACAATGGCGGGGTCTAGGATACACTCTAGGGTTGCTTCGGGAGTCTGACATTGGTCTCACTGCTCAGCTCACACTCGCTGGACCGGCATGCAATGCTTTTGGACTCGATATCTCAGACCTAACCATCGAAGTCACGTACCAGTCACAATCCACGTATATTGATTCCAGAGCCTTTTCGATGCAACGCTAACGGTTGGTTTTAGTTTACATGTCAAGATTTACGACACTGCCAACCAACAATTCACAATCCCCGAGTCGGTGATCGCACGGCCTGCCCCGCCAACGACATCTTACACGAACGGCTCCGACCTGATATTCAACTACGATACAACGCCTTTCGCATTTTGGATCACGAGACGCTCTGACTCGGACGCAATGCCATTGTTCGACACGAGAACTTCATCGCTGCCACCGACTCCTATTCCACCTTTCAATGCATCTGACCCAAGCACGGCATTCGATGGTTTTCCTCTTGTATTCGAAGATCAGTATCTCCAGGTCTGTGTCTGTCACCCCTGATGTAAATCCGACTTATAATTACCAGCTTACTTCTGCTCTGCCATATGGCACCAACATCTACGGTTTAGGTGAAGTCATTGCCAGCAGTGGATTTAGACGCGACATTGGAACAGATGGGGGCGTGGGCACCATTCAAACGCATTGGAATCTCGGGGTTTCGGATCCTATTGATCAGAACTTGTAAGTTTCATGACTAGAAATCATTCTTCACGTGGCGATATGCGGGCTGGTCAGGTATGGTTCTCATCCAATCTACATCGAACATCGGTACAATGCGACTACCGGAAAGGCGTCTGCCTCTGGTGTTCTTCTCCTTAGGTATTCAATTGTACTTGAATCCCGATTCTATCTGTTAATAACATTCCTTAGTTCCGCGGTTCAGATATCTTCTTGCAGACGCCCCCAAGCTCCAAGGTATCATTAATCGAGTACCGCATGATTGGTGGTATCCTGGACTTTTACTTCTTCTCTGGTCCTTCGGATGCAGAAGTCATTGCCCAGTACGGCTCAATCATTGGGTACCCTATGTGGCAGCCAGCGTGGGGCTTTGGATTCCACCTTTGCAGGTAATGTTCTCTATTATGTGAGTGACCTCGAGAAGACTCGTTGAAGTCATGCAGATGGGGATACCACAATATCAGTGACGACAGAGAAAACGTTGCGCAGATGCGCGCTGCGGGTATTCCCCTGGAAGGTTTGTCATGTCTTGGTGAGACTCATCGCTCATAATCCTCACTTGGCAATGCAGTCCAGTGGAACGATATTGACTTGTACCACGCTTACCGCGACTTCACTACCGACCCAGTAAGTTTCCCTGGTGATGAAGTTCGTGAGTTCATCCAAGAATTGGTGAGTATTTCCTGCTGGGCGCAGCTAGTTCTGACTTGCGTGACAGGCCGCAAATCATCAACATTGTGAATAAGCTTGTGATATTCCACTGCCAGGGTTGATCGAACAGCCCTTTAGATATCCCTATTGTCGACGCGGCTATCGCTGTCACGAGGAATTCAACTGACGTCGTGAGTCTCTAGACATGCTGTGGTTGGACGCTTCTGACCATATGTCGGTTCAGTATGATCCTTACACACGGGGTGTTGAAGAGTGAGTTTTACTGTTCTAGTAGCGATCCCTAGCTATGAATGCGCTGCAGGGATGTGTGGATCAAGAATCCAGATGGGTCTCTATACATCGCCGAAGTCTGGCCCGGCTACACTGTCCGTCATTCCTGATTTGTGGAATCTCTCTTCAATCGATTAATTTACATGCTTTTCTAGGTTTTCCCGGACTGGTTCAGCGAAAATATGCTCTCTGTATGGACCGACAGTCTCAAAAACTGGTCGGACATGGGTGTGGAATTCTCCGGTATTTGGCTCGACATGAATGAGCCAAGCACATTTTGTAGCTACTCCTGGTACGGAAAGTTTTTGTTCGTGCGTCGCTTTAAGCTGATTGGTGAGAAGCGGGACTGGTGCGAACTTCTCTTCCGTCGGTCCCCTGACCGATGTCAGCTCGGTGGTTATCGGATATCCTGAATGGTATGTCAATTGGAGGGTTTTCAAGACGCTGAATCCTGCTAACAATCTTTGATAAAGTTACAATGAAACACTCTGGGGACCTAGTGGGAATATGACCATCAATGGTACCTCTACATACTCATGTGCCGCCAACTCGACCACTATGACGATGATAGCAAAGCGGGGTGTTGGCGCAAGTAGCGAGGAAGATGTTGATCTCAACAACCCGCCATACGCTATCCATAATGGTAAGATTCAATCTTTATATACCATTATTGCGATACGACTATGAATTCCCTGGAACGCAGCGGCCGGATCTCTTAACCAGCACTCCCTGGCGACCAATGCCACGCACTCCGGCGGATATGTGGACCTCGACGTACATAATATGTTCGGGCTGATGGAGGAAAAGGCGACGCACCTTGCTATTCAGTCGATCTTGCCTGAAAAGCGTCCATTCCTGATCAGTAGATCAACCTTCCCCTCTGCTGGAAAATGGACTGGACATTGGGTATTTTGAATCCACTTGACTGAATGGGGCGTGATGTTAACTTTTTAAATAGCTTGGTGACAACTTCAGCAAGTGGCAGTACATGTACCTCAACATTCAGGGCGTTCTGCAGTTCCAAATCTACCAAATTCCGATGGTTGGCGCTGACACATGTGGATTCAGTAAGTATCTTCCGCATGTAGATTGGCGTCCGATTAACTATCTGAACAGACGACAACACCGATGAGGAGTTGTGCAACCGTTGGATGCAGCTCTCGGCATTCACACCCTTCTACAGAAACCACAACACCAATGGTGCACTCCCTCAAGAGCCTTACCGCTGGGAAAGCGTAGCAGATGCATCCCGCATCGCCATCGCTGCTAGATACGCGATGCTGCCGTACTGGGTAAGTGTGTCCGCTTTCAAGTGTTCATGAGGTTGACAGTACACATACAAAAGTACACGCTTTTTGCCAACTCCTCTATGGCTGGTCTTCCGCCTGTCAGGGCGTTGTTTTACGAGTTCCCTGATGAACCTGAACTTTTCACAGTAGACAGGCAATGGCTCATTGGAAGTGACATTCTCGTGACTCCGGTACTGACACCAGGAGCTACGACCGTCGACGGTAACAGTCCAAACCTCACCAATGACATCCCTGATTAACATACTATCTTACAGGTATCTTCCCGGGCCGCGGTAGCGTGATCTGGCGCGACTGGTACACGCACGCCGTCGTAAACGCTACGTCTGGACAAAACACGACGCTAGATGCTCCCATTAGTCACATCAACGTCCACATCCGCGACAACTCCGCTCTATTATTGCACCAAGAGCCCGGGTACACGATCTACGAGACTCGCGAAGGCCCCTATTCACTGCTCGTGTCTCTCAACGCAGCAGGCACAGCATTCGGTACTGCATATGTGGACGATGGGATCAGTTTCCCGCCTGGACCAAGCCGGAGACTCACGTTCCAGGCTGCCGAAGGCACGCTTACGATTGATAGCAAGGGAGAATATGAGATTCTGCAGATGTTGGAGACGATCACTGTGCTTGGGGTGCAGAAGCCTACCCAGGTCTCATTCCAGGGATCGCCGGTTGACGGGTGGACTTATAAGGAGGCCACTGAAGAGCTAGTGGTGTCGAACACCTCTGCCAACCTTAATGGGCAGGCGACTTTGGTGTGGAGATAGTTTTTCTACGGCATATTCAACCACTGGACAGATCGCGCAGTGCGTGATTACAAGAAACATTCACTACTGGCGTCGTCGATTTTGGAACGACTAAAATTGGAGCATGACACGCAAACTTGGACCCGTGCTACGTAGCTGCTTCAGCACGAAGACCTCTAAATATTATAATAGAATTTCGGATCTGTTTGGAACCGCTAGAAATACAGCAAGGCCTGCAATACAATCGCGATGGATGTCATTGGATGATGCATGCATTGCAGCGTTGTAGGCGATAGATTGGTGATAAGTAGCCGGGATCCGGGTGAGCAAGTCGAGATTGAGAGGAACGTTCTATACACAGCAACCAACAGCAAAACAGGTCCACTGCGTGCTGAGTGACTCAGGCCGCTGTCAAGTGATACACTAGGGGTGAAAAAATCACCTAAAAGGTTTTAATTGTGGACCCCATCTAAGTATTACAATCCCGCATCTACGAACCATTATCTTCTTTCGCGTCGGACTTTGAATGAGCAGTAGTCTAGGCCTATAGGAGTGAACATTAAGTCGTTGGTAACCCTGAACCGAGTTCAACTTTGTGACTACTCTCCTGCTTACACTTTTTTTTTTTGGTTTTGCTGCTCAGCAACCGAGCAAATCGACTGCCAAGACATGTTGGCTACCTCTCGTGTTTCAGCCCTCACCTCACAGGTCGCCAAACAGGCTGTTCGGGTCGCTGGTCAACGTCAAGCTGCCCTTACCGCTGTCAGACGCCGCGGAAATGTGTCTGTTAGGTCTATCCAGTCGGTAGCCCAGACTGATAGGGTACGTTGAAAATTTGAGTGCGCAATGTGGTTTCTTGATTGTACTATATATACAGGATACAATAACTAGACTTTTATACTCCATTGGAACTAAGCGAGAGGTCGAGCGACACCTTCGTATATTCTCCTCCTCCTCGCACCCGTCGCAACCTGCCAAGTTCGCCGTCATCAAGGTCGGAGGAGCTGTGTTGGATCAAATAGATGAACTGGCCCTCAGCCTGAGTTTCTTGTATCGTGTTGGCCTCTACCCTGTAGTACTCCACGGTGCAGGACCGCAACTGAACGGTATCATTGAGTCCGAAGGCGTCATTCCAGATTATATTGATGGAATTCGTGTCACTGGTACGACCTTTGAGCCAATATTGTTAGGTTTTGATGGCCAATATCTTTTTAGATGCGAAAACCTTGCAGATCGCCCGTCGAGTGTTCCTCGAACAAAACCTAAAGCTTGTCGGTGCACTCGAGAAGCTAGGCACTCGTGCCCGCCCTATCACCTCTGGCGTATTCACTGCCGATTATCTTGACAAAGAGAAATACAGACTTGTTGGAAATATCACTCGCGTTGATAAGCGTCCTATCGAGGCATCCATCAGAGCAGGCGCATTGCCCATTCTGACCAGCTTAGCCGAGACACCTGACGGCCAGATCCTGAATGTTAACGCTGACATTGCCGCTGGAGAACTCGCCAAGGAGCTTGAGCCTATGAAGATCGTCTTCCTGAATGAGAAGGGTGGCATGTTCCACGGCATTACAGGCGAAAAGTTGGACGTCATCAATCTGGACGAGGTAAATTCTATCTGGCATTACAATGTCACCAGTACACTGATTGCTCTATTTGTAGGAGTATGAACAGCTCATGAAGGAGCCGTGGGTCAAGTACGGCACAAAGCTCAAGTTGCGTGAATTCAAGGAGCTCCTTGACCACCTACCCCGCTCCTCGTCTGTTGCTGTCATCTCTGCCGACAATTTGCAGAGGGAGCTGTTTACCGACAGCGGTGCTGGTACCCTAATCCGCCGCGGTTACCGGCTCTTCAAACACAATAGCATCGAAAGTCTCGGCGCAGATCGCTTCCGCCAAGTCATTCACGATCGTGATCCTGAGGTGCAATCTGGCGTCTCAAGCGTCACTAGCGTCCTCAGCGTCCTCCAAAAGACACCGTACACCATTTACGGTGACGAACCCCTGGACGTAGTCGCCATTGTCACACACCCTGAAGGTGAAGTGCCCATCATGACGAAGCTTCTCGCCTCTCGCAGCGGAGTTCTCAACAATGTCGTTGATAACGTTTTCAACGCTATCAAGAAAGATCATCGCAAGCTCTTCTGGACTGCGAAGGTCGACTGATGACAACCGGTCCTGGCACTTTGAGCGCGCTGATGGAAGCTTCACGCGTGCTGGCAAGAGCTTGTTCTGGTATGGTGTGCAGGATGTTGCTGAGGTGCAGAGATTGTCAAGGATTTCGAAGCCAAAGACAGGCTTGAAAGGGCATACTTACCTGTAGGACCGTCTGCTCCCCCTCAACGTGGGTTTTCTGGTGCCACTAGGTCTTATTCTACCCTTGCTCGTCGTCAAGTGCCTTCCGGTTCTCGGGGGTATGCAACTGCTGTCACTTCGCAGCCCACATCTACTGAGCCCAAGCGCCTCGCCTTGATCGGAGCGCGCGGATACACAGGACAGGCCCTTGCAAGCCTTCTTTCCGGCCATCCTTACATCGATCTCACACATGTATCATCTCGACAGCTGGCAGGATACCCTCTGCAGGGATACACAAAGTCCTCAATCACGCACAGCAACCTGTCCGTTGAGGACGTTGAGCGTATGGAAAAGGATGGGGAGGTTGATGCGTGGGTCATGGCGCTCCCCAATGGCATCTGCAAGCCATTTGTTGATGCAATTGACCGTGGCGCAAGGGTGCGCAGCTCCGGTGAATCAAGTGTCATTGTCGACTTGAGTGCGGACTACCGTTTTGAATCCGGGTGGAAGTATGGGTTGCCTGGTGAGGTGTCTGTGTAAATACCCTGTTGAACTCCCAAATTTACATGTATTTTTGCTCCCATTTTCTTTCCATGGTTCTCTCAGAGCTCTACGGGCGTGATGACATCCGAAAGTCGAAGAGAATATCCAATCCTGGATGCTATGCCACCTCCACACAACTACTTATCGCACCATTGCTGAAGTACGTAAAGAATTCGTGCGAGCCTATGGTGTTTGGCATCTCAGGGTACAGCGGTGCTGGGACTGTCGCAGGCACGAACGACGTAGATGGCAAGCCGACGACGGTGCCCAAGGTCACACCAGAGAGCCTCGCTGGTGGTTTCCGTCCGTACTCGCTCACAGACCACATCCACGAGCGTGAAGCTGGCCGTCACCTAACTAGTCTGCTCGCAGATCCCACCAACCCCATGAAAGTTGCCTTCATACCCTCTGTCGCACCTTGGTTCAGCGGTATCATTTCGACATTGTCCGTACCACTTAGTGAGAAGGTTACTGCACGGGATATCAAGGCCCTGTATGAAGAGAAGTATGGTGGAGAGAAATTGATACATGTCAAAGTGGGCGTTCCAGGTCTGTCAGATATTGAGAATAAGCACGGCTGGAGTGTAGGAGGTTTCCAAGTCCACAGCGAAGGCGATCGAGCTGTTGTCGTGGTATGTTTGTCTTTCCTGTATCCTAGGATATGTCACATGTGGCTGACTGAGTTCAGGGTGGCTTGGACAATCTTCTCAAGGGCGCCGCAACGCAGTGCTTGCAGGTACGTTCTGCCAAGATAACCCGGGAGGTGTCAGCAATCTGATTTCTTGACAGAATTTGAACCTTACTCTCGGTTACGACGAGTATGACGGGATACCCATTGATTAAACATATCAACAGGGTTTGCTCTTGTATTTCTGCGGCATTCTTCGGGCATGTAGAACGTTGCATGATCTAGTAAAAACTATGTAATATCAGTGATTGAAATCATTCTGCGCCTTCAGACACAGGTGTTCTATGTCTGCCGGGGTGCAGCTTATTAACCGATATCTTATCAACTGCATCATTCCCCCAGACGACCAGCGCACGGGCGCGGTGTACGCGCAATATTAATATTATTAATGTCTTCAGGGTTTGACGCTTGCAGTTGACAGTTGGGCGTCTGTCCATAATTAGATCCGTCTCAGGCTTGTGCATTGTACTAGTCGACCGCGTAGTACGAGCACTACTGACTCCACCTCTGTGCACTACTTTAGCGCATAGATTCCTCCGCAACCTATGGCCGGCAGCAACCAAGAATACTTCCAGTCTGCCTTATACCAGATCCCAGAGCAGGATCCAGTCATTCCTGGGGGAACTCCCCAGTGGAGCAACGCGCCCGGAGTAAGTTACAAAGATCGCGCAGTACCAAACGTCAGTGTCTGAGTCGAACTACGAACAGAATACAGAAAATTTGATCTTCTCATTCTTTCACAGGTAACACAACCTGTGGGATACCAGCCCACAGACGAGCAACTTTTCATGCGCACTACATACGGAGAATTGCTCCCCAATGCAGATTTTCTGAAGCAGCACTTCTTCCACGAGGGTCGTCTAACTGAGGCCCAGGCTTTGTATATTCTCCAACAGGCGATCTCGCTATTGACTCAAGAACCTAACCTTGTAAACGTAGAGAGTCCTGTGACAAGTGAGTCCGGCCTGGGTCGCAAGTGGGCGTGTGAGCTGAATGATTCAAGTATGCGGGGATATCCACGGGCAATACGTGCGTTATCCACGTTTCTATTCTGCTTGCCTGCACTAAGGTTTTGGGGTGGGGACAGTATGATTTGATGAAATTGCTGGAGATCGGTGGAAATTTTTCTGATAATGCCTATCTGTTCCTCGGTGATTATGTTGATCGTGGAAATTTTGGAATCGAAGTAAGTATTCAGATCCTTTGCAGAATCTGTGTTCTGATCCTGGCCTAGTGTCTGCTTTATCTATATGCGCTCAAACTCCAACACCCAAAGCGCATCACGCTACTACGAGGAAATCACGAATGCCGACATCTAACGGAATACTTTACTTTCAAACGAGAGTGTAAGCTCTCATGCGGCGGCCTGCGTCATATGCTGCTTACAATGCGATCATAGGTCTCCATAAATATTCACCAGCAGTGTACGATGCCTGTATAGCTTCATTCTGCGCTCTTCCAGTCTCAGCGCTCGTAGATAACCGCTTTTTCTGCGTCCACGGGGGCCTTTCGCCAGAGTTGGTGACTTTGGAGGATCTGCGTAGGGTCTGTTTATTCCTGTGATTCACTTGAGTGCGTTCCAGACTCACCCAAGGCGTAGCTCGACCGGTTCCAGGAGCCTGGGTCGAGTGGCTTATTGTGTGACCTGTTATGGTCCGATCCTGTAGTTAACTTTGGATATGAACACGAGCATTCACAGCAGGGTCCGCCCCTGCCTCCTGGCACCACGTTCGAGCATAACGGGGTGCGAGGGTGCTCATACTTCTTCACGTAAGTGGTGTCATGTGCAACAGGTCATTTCCTAGTCTGAATTAACTGAAGATACGAGGCGGCATGCAAATTTCTGGAGCGTAATAACTTGCTGGGGATTGTGCGTGGGCACGAAGCTCAGGATGCAGGGTAAGGTGTTCTTTGATTAGGGTGTGCTGTATCGCTCTCTACTGAAACAATAATTTCAGGTACATGATGTATAGAAAGACACCGACGAAGAAGTTTCCCTCTGTCATTACAGTATTTTCTGCGCCGAACTACCTGGATGTATATCACAACCGCGGAGCAGTGATTAAGTATGCAAACAAGAACATCACTATCCGTCAGTACAACTCGAGTTCTCATCCATACTGGCTTCCCAATTTCATGGATGGATTTACGTGGAGCTTGCCTTTCGTCGGTGCTAAAAGTAAGCTAGAATGAATTCACAAATCAGGGTCCGTTTACGGTAGAGTTTACAGTCACAGAGATGTTGCTCGCGATCTTGGCAACATGCAGCCCAGAAGAGCTAGAAGACACCGAAGTTTCTATCGAAGAGGGAGATGAAGCCAGCAGGGCCGTTACGGACCTTGCCCTGCCGCCTTCCGAAGTTGCAGCACGTAGGCAGGCGATTAAGAACAAGATTCTTGCGGTTGGAAAGATGCAACGGGTCTTCCAGCTTCTTCGGTCCGTGATTTCTGCAATTTGATTTAGTGCGGGATACTCACTTGGCTGGTTGCAGCGAGGAGGCCGAGAACGCATCGGAATTGGCTACAGTCGCAGGCGAAGAGGCTATTGCTGGTTTGGGCCGTGTCGGGTCAGATTTGCTTACAGCGCAAGGCACGCAGATGAGGCACTATATTCGCAACTTCGCCGACGCGTAAGCACTATTGTCAATTCTTCCGTCGTGGTCATTTTCTTATCTGCTACACTCGTATAGTCGCCGCTCAGATCTGCTGAATGAGCGTTTGCCGATATTCCAACCAACGGATTCGGTGACTGACTTCCCTGTGGTACCAGCACCGAGTATGCGGCGTCGCGGCAGCGGCGACATTGACGGGGTGAGTATGGAGGAATTGATCCGCCGGGCACTAGAGGAACCCGATGAAGACGGTCTTCAGGGCGGAACGGTGGAACGAATTGCTGAGCGTGTCGCGATCGGGAGGAAAGTAACAGGGAAACCAATGCCTTTGAAGAGATTTGAGACTGCGTGACGATCTATGTACGACATGATGATCTAGACTGCGACGCCCAAGGAGGATACCTCTGATTCCTGTTTCGACACCCGCACTGGTACATCACTTAACGAATGAAATGCAATACAGGCAGCTTGACCACAAATAGCCTACAGGGTGTTGTGCAACCACTTGAGATGTCGATGAATGTCTGAAAGAGTTTATACTGAATGGTGCTCGACGGTCAGCAAACTCCATATAGAGCAATCAAGCACACCTTCTAAATAATCAGCCGCGAGGAGCCTAATCGACGCACGTTGGTTCAGATCATAATGGAACAGGTAACGATGTGACACACAGTTCCAGCGCCACCTCGGGTGGTATGCGTTCGGTGAACTCATTCACATCAACACCCTCCTTGGATCCAGGCCCCTCGTAGTAGGCCTTGAAGGACATATACTCACAAACCTTCTCGACCACAGCAGCGCTATTTCGGCTATTAGAAGACAAAGCGAGGTTCCTAAACGGGTCGGTCGCCACCTACCGTTCGCTGATCGGACATGTGTTGGCAATTGCCTCCCTGAAACTACCTGTAGTGCGTAATAGTTCGGATACCATAGCAAAGCTTCCAAAAGGAACGAGAGCTCACTGTCCTCGCTAAGCATGTTTTTGAGTGTGCCACTGATCGCAGCGACATTTCGCTTCACGAGAAAGGAGTAGCCGTCTGAACTGGTGATCTTTACCCAGTCATCCCGCTTTTCAGCGCCTGCATCCTAGAATGCTAACAATCAGCACAAGTTCGTGATGTTTGATACATCATTTTACATCCATCTGAACATCGTTGGACATTATGAGCTCACTCTTGTGTGTGGCGAAGGCCATGCTAGGACCAAAGCTGATTCTTGGACATATAGTGTGAGAATAAACTACTGTATATGGACTCTAAAGTAGGTCCGCCAAGTAATCTCGTTTCCATCTCATTCATTATCTACCACCGTGCACGACCTGCACTTGAGCCCTAGATATGGCTCTACCCAAGGCAGGTGTTCATTATCATTGTCCGAAATAACATATTTTGAACATGATCTGGTACTTATCTAGCGGATCATCAAGGTGTGTTCGATCATGTTTACAGCATCTTCCCAGTAGTCAGCCATCCCTGACCATGTCTCTTTCATCTATTCTCCATTGTTCCGCATAGGAAACTGAGCGCCTCGTCGCAGACCCCGCACCTGGAATCACTGCTGCGCCGCATGAGGACAACCTGCGTTACTTTGATGTAACGATTCAAGGGCCCGATGGCAGTCCTTTCCAACGTGAGCTGCCGAGATTATAGATGATGCATTGTCGGAATGCTGAAGCGTCCGGTAAGAGGGCGTGTTTCACCTGGAACTATTCCTTCCGGAGGAATATCCCATGAGTCCCCCGAAGGTGCGATTTCTCACAAAGATATACCACCCAAACATCGGTGAGCTCTTAGGTTGCCATAGTGCCTGCACAATCTAAATATGCTTCGCTACTGCAGACAAACTGGGTAGAATCTGTTTAGATATTTTGAAAGGTGCGTTCGGGTACCTCGCGCTGGTCCCTGCCGATTTGAACATTATGTACTGTCTTGTAGACAAATGGTCCCCTGCATTGCAAATTCGGACAGTCCTGTTGTCGATACAAGCTTTGCTGAGTGCGCCCAACCCTGACGACCCATTGGCTACCGATGTCGCCAAGCACTACAAGGAGGATGAGAAGGACGCACAAAGAGTCAGCAGGGAGTGGACGGAGAAGTATGCGTCCAATTGATGATACTGGAATCAGGTGGAGTATCTGGAAATCATGACGGTGTGGAGGCATGAGTATTGTAAGCTGAGTATAGCAAAGCATGAACCTTGGCAGTTAATTTGTACATGAAGTGAGGACTTCAACCTCAGGCTTCTAATTCTGATTCCGGCGTGGATGCGGGTTTCGTTCACCTAGATCAAATTAGACGTGGCCTCCAAAAAAGGGGACCTGATGTGGTCACCCACTGATTCATATTTTCGTAAGTCGCTTGTAAAGGCAGCATAATTTGTATTTGTCCGACGAATGGTTCCGAAATTGGGCTTGGGTGTTGATCTAGACCGCGAAGTCTCGGTTAAGTCTAGAGCCTGTGAATTCGGCACGATTGATCTGACAGTCATTTGGGCGTTTCTCAGACTAACTTCGCCATATTTACAGGCAAGAGATGGCACAGCCTGAAGATCAACCACCAACATAGCTAGAGTTGTCCTCAAAGGCGACGGGGTCCTAGCCAGGACGTGCGCTTTAAGTTCGCGCTTTCCGCGATACTCGTCTGTACGTTACAGCACCATACAAGGCTTCAGAATGCACGGTGCTGACCACCTGTCTTCTTGCCTCACTGCACCTAGAAATTTTTGCTCGAGGTTACAAGGCTTCTAATCACCTTGCGCACCCAACATAATCAGTCCAAATACCTCCCCCAATTTTTACACCGTGTATAGGATATATCCTTCTCGTCCCGTCATGTCGATCTTGAACGCGGACATAACGCACATCCTCATCAACGATCTGTTGTCTAGTAATGGAGGTGCGCCATCTGCGCTGCTGACCCTTGCCAGCACAACTCGATCTTTCCGCGAGTCGTGCCTCCCCTACCTCTTCTCTGAGGTGCGGTGGCCTCATAAGTCCAAGGCTGACGAGGAATCTGGCCTTCATTTCTTCCCTGAGGGCCTCTGGCCATATATCAGGTAAGCCCATCGCCGTCGTCCCCCCCTCCCATAGCATCAGGATTCACCGTGATTTTCGGCGCCAAGGCATTTTCGGCTAGAATGGTTTGACGAATGGACGGAACCCAGTCGCCTCAAGTGGGGAACAATGGACAAAGATGGTAATTATGTCCCTTGCGATCTGGTCAAATTCAATTCGGCGATTGCAAAAATGCCCAAGCTGTCGAAGGTGACACTGAGCTGCCCCTTCGTCGTACCCCGGTCCCTCTTTCAATCCTTGGGTCTCTCGCGATCCCTCAACGCCATCACATTCATCGACACGCCGCTTCAAATAGGCATAACGTCCATCTCCCCCGCTGCGTTCAAGCAGATTTCCCTTACAACTGTTGGGCAGACGCTTCGCGTTGGTGATGGACCGACAGACCCAAGGTTTTCTGACATCACGTACTTCATACGTGACTGGAGGAGGAAGTATCGCTCGCAGGCCAGCTGGAGGCAAGTCCAAGAAACACAAGCTTCCATCGCATTTGTCAAGACGCACGCAGCACACATCACACATCTCGAGCTGTCTGGTAGTCTATGCTCTTTTGGTGCTCTATCCAGAATAGATTGGCCGTTCTTGAAAACCTTTGTGCTCACCGGTAATGTTCCGGTTACGCAGCCGTATGAGCCGCCAGCGCACGTGCAGCTTTTCAACGTGCTTGCACGTATGGATGCGTTGCGGGATTTGCGTCTACTCTTCGCACAAAGCAAAGCACGGGAGTTTCACGTCCTTGGACAGAATGATCCTCCTGATCCGGTGCACACAGCAAAGCTAGCAACTCTTACTGATTTCGCCATATCAAACGCTTGCAAGCTCGACGGAATTCTCAATCACATGTCATCTCTCCAGCGACTCGCCATTCTCGCCATCGTAGATCTTCCTCGTTGGCCCATTGCGCTTGGCCAGGCAGAGGTTGACCGTGTGCTCATGGATGTTGCCGCGAGCGGCTGTGAGCTCAATCATTTGCGCATTATCATCGAGGACAAGCTCACGCCCAACGTGTGTTGGTCCATCACCTCCAACTGCCCTCACCTTCAGACGCTAGAGATTGAGCGATGTGGTTACCACGATGGTAAATCGGTATCAAGCTGGGTACGTGTATCCCCTCTGGCCTGATCAAAATTCAATACTAAACTGATCTTGACGTGTATGATCGCCGCAGGAAGAGTTCCTCGAAGCACTGTCCCCTCTATCTGCCCTTCAAGACCTGCGCATCTGCATGCAATTCCCAGAGTACGATGATGTTGACGAATTTGAGTCATGGCGTATAGTACGCAAAGACTGTGCCAGGGCCCTCGCGATGGGCCTCAAGCTGCTCGGCAAAGTCGGTTTTGAGTATAGGAAACGCGCAGGGACCCACCGTTACCAGGATGCGTGGCTGGACTTCGAAATCAGTCGGAGCAAAGGAGGGGCTGTCGAGCTGTGCCAGCTGCCAGCTATGTGGTACCCGTTCCCCGAGGTGTGGGAGTCATCACGGTCGCCGTTTTGATTGAGGATGAGTTTTTTGGCGCAATGGAGGGTACTGCTTTCTTGCAAGTATGCATGTGTTTTCTTTCTCATGGGCATTGTAATCTTACACGGAACGTCTCGATGTGGCTGAGCTCGTCTTGGCTTGGTTGTCTAGCGGCACATATGGTTTCTCACATTGGCATCGGTATCCACACACATAGTGTACATAGATATATTTGTATACACGTCTCTAGACTTGCTGCCGAGAGATATAGCTTTGGTATCTTGTTATTGCATAGTGGGAATGTATCTGTCATCAATACTGCGCGCCGGAGAGATTTGAATTCAGTAGCAAAGTCAGCCAAGGGTCAGGTTATAGTAATTGTAAGGACCAGTTGTCGATCCGGTGGAATGGCGGTAATGCAACCGAAAGCCTAGCTCCCCCGGGCGTCCTCCAGACGTGTGCCAATTCCATTGACATGCTCCCGCGACGGAGTCTTGCAGTGCTGAGCACCCGTTGATCTTGTGGTGTCACCTAGATAACTTGACTGCGTAACCTAATGTTTGAGCGCTAATGATAAGGAACCAAAGGTTCGACTTCACATCAGGTCAAGCAGGGCGATAAAAGCCTTATACCGTCTTTATGTTTTGCGGAGTGTCTTGGAAAACATTTGATCGTGACATCAGGAAACCATGTCAGATTAGGAAGGCAGCAAACACAAGCGAGCTGTGGCATCACATTCTCGGTACTGCGTAAGTATTCGGAACCTTGCTTGTGAGGAGTCCGAGTCCGCGGTTTAAGTGTATTGCGCCGATGTCCACGGCTGGTCGACTTTGGAATGCTGATACTTGGTGGCGTCTTTGGCGTCTTATGATAGAATGTTCTACGGGCCTAGATGTCAGATCAAGGAAATTCCCCACCAAGTGGATCTGTGTTTTGATTCCGGAGTTCCGGAGAGCCTGGATGTACAGCAAGTTTCATGTTAGGAATGATATCAGATAAGGTATAGGACCGTCAGCATAGGGTGGCAGAATTACCTCAAATAATCTTGCACGTTCACCAACCACTAATACGACCAAGTACACGTTGTACGAGTGCTTCGGAGCGCGACAGCTACTACGACAGCTAACCGATATGCCATGTCACTGACACCGTGGAATGCTTATCAAGTCCTGCTCCGTACGTGCCATCCACATAGCGTTGTCGTTGTATGATCGTTTACGGGTTCAAAAGCCAGACAAATGGCAACCATTGAACACGCCTAAGATCACACCCCAGATCCCTTGGCCTGCCCTGCATGAAACTTTTGATGATGTTCTTGTTACTTCATACCCTCATCATCATCTGGGCCGCACCTGCAGGATCTAATACGGCACGACGGGCATCCATTGCCGGGTCCTCTGTCATCACGTATGTCATCCCGCGTCCATCGTGTATTCGTAAATTAACACGGATTTGCTTTCTAGGACTGAGGGGACTTGCTCGGATTCTTCCTCTACAGGAAGCAGTTGTAATTTTATTTCCTCGACTTTGCTGGAGTCTGGATGCATGGCTTCTGTAGCTGCGACCGCCACAGGATCGGTGACCAGCCGTGAGTCTGCCCTGCTTAAATCTTTGCGTAAACTTCATGTCCGGTGTCCAGTAATAATGACTGCGCCGACCGGAACCTTGGTGACGGCACCTACAGCAAACGATGAATTATCCAATACTTGCACGTTCAGGACGTTCAATATCGACGAAACCTCTCTGAAAGTATATATGGTCGGAATAATCCTAGCGGCTTCTTTTGCAGGCGTAGCACTTACCATTGTCAGCGTGCTTACCTGTTCTGTGGGCAGATGTATAAAAGTGAGTTGTCTGAATTCCGGACATAGAGGGTTGTGCTGACGTAATAATTTTCAAAAATTCAAAAATTTAACAGCAATACCATACAGTTCGCGTGCAAGACTCGAAGAACTGTGGCTACTCGAAAAAATTCAGTGTATTCATCGAGTAGTCTAACTTAAGGCGTAGCAGAGCTGCGCCTCTCTGCATGCGTGATGCTGCCAAGTTGGCATGTCCTAGTGAAATGCAACAGCAGTGTGGGTCACTGGGTTTCTAATTAAAATGAACAGTAACTGTGTTGGTAAATTAAAGTTATATTTCGAGATTACTATAACTTTGTGTCATACATACCCTAAGTCAGTGACGAAGCTGTATCATAATATGCAACGAGTGATTCCATTTTGCCAGCTGAACCATGCTGTAGGAGCTGCTTGAAGTTAGCCGTGATGGAACACCGTGACACTGATACGTCGGACTTACGATAATTGCAACACGCATAGCGAGTGACTATGCACTTAATCACTGCCAGGGCCGAGGACGGTGCATTGAATATAAATCAATCAACAGGCGAAGTGTAGCCAGCTGTGATATTGAACGTTGACACCGCACCGTGTTCTCTTTCGAACACTCCAGATCCTGTGCAGCGATACTACCAGCATGTAAGAAATCCCATATAGAATGCCCGCACTGCTGCCCAGAACTGCTTGGAACCCCAAAGTATGGTGATGCTAACGGCCGCCTGTAATGCCGAACGTCCAATTTGTGCAGCTAAGGGTGAAAGCATTTCGAATGGAATAATGTTACGGTAGGCCGTCGGACGTGATAACGTTGCGCACGGCAATGGAGCACCAATGCATCATACCTTGTAAGTTGAGTCCCTACACGTCGGACCAGAGCTATTCTAGGAAATGGCTCCTCGTTGCAATCATGCGAATTGAGTTGTTACCCGTTGACAGAAACACGTATTGTGCACCGGATCCTGTGATGAGCTCAGACCATCGCTCGACGAAGAGCGATTTTGATGAGGAGAAGACGATGATCGGAATCGGAGAGTTGAAACCAAGGGTTTGCAATTGACTCAGCCATACATAGGCCCATTAAGGGTGGGACTTGTAATTACCATCACTACGTGACTAGGACCCCCTTTCCTTTGTTCTTCTCTGTGGACCTTGTGGTCTGCATTCATGTCTTCAGAGTATCCCTCTCATCTTCATGTCTCCTTCGCACCAAATGCAACCTCGTTCAAACGGACGTTTGAACAGTTCGGCTACGATTCAGGCTCTCCAATGACTAGCGCTCTCCAAGCCAACGGGAGTGGCACAGCAACCCACAATGTTCCGACAGGCTCCAGTAGCAGCAATAGTGGCAATGAAAGAAACAAGAGGGCAAGGAGTACCAGCAGCTCCTCTGTCAGCAATCGTTCTGCAGACTCTTCCAGATCCTCCGAGTATGTTTCTGCACGATCGAGCGCCTCGCTGAGCGAGGGCTCGACTACCGACGACCATAACCTCTCTCTTGACCAAAACAGGAGATCCACAGCTTATCCATCTCCCGCCGTTGCCTCTACTTCGAGTACTTTTGTCTCACCAACGCCTGTGCTACCGAGTACCGAGACCGAACCTCAGGATGAGGACATGTCAGATAGCTCTGGTTTTTCCGTGGACATCCCACGTCCCGCACCTCCGCCAGAAGTAGTATCTTCTACTGTACATGACGCTCTTAGAAGCTCCATAGAACGTTTCAACGAATTTGATAGTCACATCGCAGCCCTCCGGCGTTCACACTCACGTACTCCATCTTGGCACCCTACCGCATCTCCCGTTCTGTCCCCACGCGAATCCTCAAATGATACCACCGAAGCATTTGACAACTGGGACTGGACTCATTTTGGAGCTTCACCGGACTCATCGCACACATCTGGGGAGGATCGCCGAGGTCAATATTTCACCGATGCAACTGCTTCAATTGGGTCTGGGCGCACACACACTGCGGCTCCCAGACAGGCTGGCTCGTTATCTTACCAAGCACCAGATGGTTGGCGTCTCTTTGATCTGTTACATACACATCAGCACTGATTACATACTACCCGCTGACAGGCTTATCATCACGTCCCGGCTATACTGCCTCATCGAGTAATACCTCCAATTCTACACGTTCGTCGAACACCCCTCCTTATCCTTCAAACCGCCCATCCCCATCAATCTCTTCATCAGCGAGGACGAACGCATCTATCCGAGAATCTGATGAGTTTCCCAGCCGATCACTCGCCTCCGTACCGTTAGTCCTGCAAACTGAAAGAAACAATACTGATACCTTAAATGGACCCGACAGCAGTCAAAGTGTCCATCATGGATCAAGTTCTGGGCCATCAAATGTGTCATGGGCTGCTCTCGCCTCTTCCCGTCCACCACCACCTGTTGCATCGTCGCCAGATGTAGTCAGCAGGCAAGGCGTCCATCGTGTGCCAAGCTCTGGCTCATCCAATTTGACATGGGCTGCTCTTGCTCTCCCCCGTTCTTCACCGCCAGTTGCGCCGTCGCCAGACGTGGTCACACGTCCAGGATTACTCGACAGCGTATTCGAGTCGCCAACGTCTGATCTGGCTGCTAGGCCGCAGGCCGCAAGACGTACTACACACTCAGATGCAGGCTGGAGATCTACGAGTTCTGCGCGTACGTCAACAAGCACTTCTGCGTCATCCTCTGGTCGGTGCTCTGTCCCACACATGTGATGATCATGTTGACTAAGAGCTACTATTGTTCCAGTGCTTGGAGACTCCATTTCTCACTTCTACACTGCTGATGAGGAACGATACCGGGATACTTTGAATACAACCCAGGACTATAATTCATCACCTTCTCGCTCTGCTGACAGATACCAAGATGTTGCTGCGCGTGCTAGAACAGTCATCGAACGTTCACGTAACCTAAGTATGGTTTTTATGTTTATTCATTCCTGTTGTTCACAAATATCGCCAGTTCGCCCTCTCTCGGAGGCTTTCCCTTCGTTTTCCAGAGAGCAGGCAGTCGAAGATTCCGAAGAAGCAGAATTGTCATTTGACCGTTACTTAGTGGGTCTCGGTGAAGAGGACTCTACCGATCACGAGAGAAGGCGCAGGGTGACGGCTCATAACCGTTACGATCTTGTCGGCGAAAATGATGAAGACGATGACGACCCCTCCCATCCAGACAGTGTGCGCGAGATCATCCAAGGTCTTCATAATGCCCGCGGTCTACTCGAGCGTGGTGTAGAAACTGGTAAGGCGCAACGCATTTATCCAAATCATATTCACTGATCTTTCTCAACCAGCCCGTTCATTGTCTGGGTCGCCTTCCCGACATGAACCGCCCAATCCTCCTTCAGCTCGTTACCGCTTTCATTCTCGCTTGCATGCCTCCGCTACTACAGTGTCCAGCAACTCGTTGGTATCAGAGAGTGCCGCGGAACATCGCCGTACCAATGCCAGGGCGCATCTTCGCTCCCAATTGTCTGATTCACGTCCCAACTCTGACGAGCCTCCTCGGGACAGTCCAAACACTTCAAGTTTGGCTGCCGCTACTCGCTTGAGGCGTCTTATGGCCAGTCAAGAAGACTCCTCATCGAACACATCTTCCCACCCCTTGTCGTCTGGTCGAACAAGCGATCTTCCTTCAAGACCATTCGCGTCAAGCGGTTCTGGGTCAGCTTCTCAGTTTCCACGAGGAGGCTTGAACGAATGGGAGAGTGTCCGATTTTCAGAGATTTCATCCGAACACAGACATCCCCAGACAAGAAGTGGGAATGACAGATCTTTGTCAAGAGACCGCAATCATCTTTCTTCGGAAGACTCACCCGACAGCATCTTTGACCCTGTGTTCGCCACAATCAACGCTATTCCCGGTTTAACACGCTCAGTGGAGGGAGACGCGCAGCCACCGTATGTTTATCGTCCGCCCACACCACCTCTTCACAACTTGCGTACTGCTCACTCGCGCTCTCCACCGCGCATATTTTCGGAACGATCACAGGTGTCTAATGGTGACACATTTGCGAGATCTCATCCTTTTACCAGCGTTAACTTGGATATGTTCACGCCTGGAATATACCGCGATTCTTTGCGGCGGGCGATACAAGCGAACCAAGGACGCGGTGATTCCCGTGTGCCAGAACCAGAGCCTACGCCTCCCACTCACGAACCTTCCACTATGTTTTCATTTGGGAACTCGGATGAGGATAACGATAGCGATGACATGGATTCTTACTTTGGTATCTTGGTGTGTCCCCGTCAACAAATCACATGACGTATTTAGCACTGACATATTTGTGCAGCCAAGGCGTGGAAGGGAACGCACAGCAGCCGCGAGGTCAGTGTTATGTATAACTTCCATCGAACACTTGCTGAATGTTCCTTGACACTGTAGTGCACGGTTTACATCGAGGCATATGATGCCGGAGCCTGCTGCTTCAGCAACATCCTTGGCTTTTGGCGTCGACTCTCACAACACATCCACGCAGGGTAATAGCGCCTTCACTGGTACACGGGGCCGCGTCCCTCCATCGAGAGGGCAGTCCAGCGACGAACATCTTACGAGGCACCGATTGAATGAAGCAGAGAGAGGCGTTCAAAGTTTGCCTCTTGATCCATTCTGGTCTAGCGCCAGGCGGGATGCCCCCGCACACAACACTACCTCCAACGCTTCATGGGAGTCATTCATACAAGCCCAGGATCGCGACTATGAAAGAATGAGAACAATGCGTGACATGATGGAGCGATATGGTCCCAACAACGAACGATCTGACTTGGCTTCCAGGCGCAACGTTTCTCAGCCTCACCAGGGGCCCTCCGGAAGACTTGGAAATGCTAATCGCCTCACATTACTTCCATGGCGGTCTCCACTGCTTCAAGGTTCATCTACTCCAACCAGCTCCGGATCGTCATCCACCTCCAGTGGTTCCGCTACCATCACCCACAATCCATACCGAAACACTACAGACCGGCCTCGAGAACGACAAGAAGCAGCGCCACCAGAAGAACGGACACCCATTCGTACCTTGAGGCAGCGGGCTGGCCTCACACGCGGAACGTCCCGAGCAGAGGGTACTCGTATTCGTTCGATGTTTCGGACGATGGCAAGGAGAAATATGGGGGATTATATGGTGTGTATGCTATGTTGTGTTTACTGGGATGTTCCTCATGTTTGTCTTTTCGTATGAAGCCGGATGAGTTATTTGACTCGTCGTATGAGGGATTGTTGTCGCTAGGCGAAACGCTTGGGGAAGTTAGATCGAAAGCCACGCCTGCCGACGTCATTGCTTCGCTTCCAACCGGGACCTATCAAGCATGGGCCAAGGAAGACAGCGAGACACGGTGTCCAATATGTTTGGATGATGCACGTGTCTGTTAAATTTATTCAGTGACGTATCATACTTATCTTTCTTCTGCAGTATGGGCGCGACGATCCTGTCACAAAACTTATTGAATGTACCCATTGGCTACATAAGGCTTGTTTGGAGGTATACTTGTCTTCTTCTGTATTTTTTTTCGCTTGCTGACGAGTTACCCTTCCAGCAATGGCTCAAGACAGCGAATACTTGCCCTGTATGTCGCAAAAAGGTCAAGGATTCTCCGAAATGCCCGTATAAGGCAAGCATAATGACAAGTGCGGGAGCTGGTGGGTCGGGGTCAAGAGAACCTGAAGTGGGAGCAAGCGGCAATCACGGCCGGGCATCAAGCTCAGACTCTACCTCTGGGGTTGTTGCCATGCGTTTTGGTGATTTCCTCAATCGCGCTCGCCGAGGGTCCAATGCCCAATCAGGGAGTGGTACCCAGCAACAGCCATTGTCCCGTGTCCAAACGGTTGTTGGTACTCCTGCCGAGCCGGTGGCGGCGACAAGGTTTAATGGCAGTGGGACTCATTTCCATCATCATCACCACCACTATCTCCACATCCACCCACCACGTCCAGAGCAATCCCACGGTTCACAGTTCCTAGATCCTTATCATCAACTTCCCAGCTCAACTGCCAGTACAGCTCAGAGTAGTACGGCACCCCGCACTTTCCCATCTGTCCAGAACGTCAGCGGACCTCGTCCTAATGCGTCAAGTCGCCCAGCACTTTCTCGCCCGACTTCCTGGTTTGGGTCAATGACAAATCGAGCCAGTGCTCGTCGAGTGCCTGAAACAACACGGGATAGCGGTCCACATTTCCTATCTTCTCCAATGGAAGTCGATTATGAAATCGGAAGAACGAGTTTCATAGGTGTAACTTCTGGCTTTCATGATCCTGCGCCAGCCCCACGAAGCATCTTCGGAGCGCCTCCATCATCTAGTGCCATGTCTAGCGCAGTTTTTCCTCAAACTGCGGGCTCATCGTCATCGTCGTCGTCGTCATCATCTTCGTCATCATCTACGTCTATAGCATCTAACATGCTAGACTCATACTCCCTGGTGACAGGTGAATTCCATGGTACAACACGGACCAACGTGGGCTCATTGGGGAGCCAGCCTCACAGAACCGCGGCCAACAATGCAGCTGCACCGCACTTTGGATCTTTCAACGTGGATGGCGGACTAGATTCAAGAAGCAGTTCGACTCGCAGCAGCTATGTGAGGCCTGGAGGACCTGGGACATCTGGTCCTCCTCCATGGTGGCGGTGAGCTGTGTCGTCGTATATGACCTGTTATCTTCAATGATCTCTACATATAATATCTATTTTTTTTGTCAGGTTATAGCATTGCATCACAACTTATCTGCTTTTACACTGTACACATGGATACATGTACATTCTCTCTTCTTCGCTACACGTACCTGTAAATCAAACAAATCAAATCCAAGTATATCTAGTCTTAGGTGTCAATGAATTTAGAGACGTAGTTCGTCGTAAAGTATGCTCGCGCAATCTCTGATATCCTGTTTCCTGATTCCGTTTGTGAGATCGTAACAGTAATCTGAAGAAGTGGTGCACCCTGAGAAAAATTGCCGATTCCCGACTAGCTGACTGGTACTTATGGTTAGTGTCAGGGGCAGAAATATTTTAGGGCGAGTTCTGCCAAAAAAACGGCAGAGTGGCAATTGACAGAATGGCAGAAATGTTTTGCGTGTTTTTGCGTGTTTCTAGAGTGGTTCAAGATGACGGCAAAAATGATCTAAGCTATTGCATGGATGCTACACCCTCCGACAACAATAGTGTGTTGATGTTCCAGACTGCCTCCATGCCTTGTGACCCACGGCCAACCACATCAATTTCCTCAATAAATCCCGCAGGTGTGATTCCTTTATCAACCTTCTCTAGCTTGTTCCAATCAATAACACCTTTGTTGAAAATATCTGGGACTTCACAAGTACCTTCAAGTTCTTGCAAGCCATGGTGTGAATCCAGCATCTTGTTTTCAAACCTGGTGAATTCTTCAAGCAGCTCTTCATCCATTATTGACTCCAGGCCTGCAAGGAATTCATTGTCTGAGTTGTGAGAGTCACCAGTGAGTGGAGGCACCCATGTGAAAGACCTTTGAAGTTTGTTTGCTAAGGCTATGTCAAGTCCACACTCTGGTTGAGTGTGCATATGGGCATGTTTGTGATGTGTTGCCTTGCCGGCTTCATGATCTACCTTATGCAAGAAATTTGTGTAGCTTGCTTGGAGTTTGCTAAGAGACTTGAAAGTCTGAACTGATAGGTTACAGCACTTCACAGATTGTACCCCACCCAGGCCTGAGAAATAACACTTGACATTGGCAGCATAAGGTACAATCATGTGGATTATGATTGCAAATGCCTTCAATGGACAGCACTCAGCACTGACTGGGAGGGTTTCCCACCAATCAAGTGCATTAGCTTGCCCTCTGGAAAATACTCCAGAGCATTTGTGATACTCTTTCAAGTCAGCAACAAGCATTTTTGAAAGCTGTTTGCTCCATTGCAATTGTTTGGCAATGTTGAGAGCTACCTTTGTTGTCACAGCCTTCTATAGATGTCGAACAGTAGTTGCATTCATAAAAATAACAATTGGATGAATTTGAGACTTTTTGCTGTTGGACAAAATGGTTGGTGATGATTTTTTGAGTGGGGCAGCCTTTGGACTTTTTTGACAACATTCTGGTGTGCAGAGAGGCTAGATACACTTTTTTGAACATTGATCATATGCTATTTACTTGTAGTACAAGTAAGATTCATATTGATTTCTGCCGACTTCTGCCAAAGGCCCTCAACCTACTGCCAGCAATTGCCATTGGCAGAATGGCAGACTTCTGCCCACAACACTACTTATGGTGGATGATTGGTGATGGTTCATTTTCTCATGTTTCCCCAGTATTTTTTAAAGTCCACTGTATGTATTATTGTATTTATATAGGTTATTATGAACATCACAGATCACACTACTTTCTAAGGTCTACTAAGAGTGGACATGAGCAGACTAAATGGCAAATATCATAACTTTTCTTTACATGAATGAGTTTAATTTCTGCAGTTGCAACACTCAATAAGGCTAAGGTGCCCTTTTTAAAAGGGCAGATGAAGGTGCCACACCTATCACTCTCTTATCAGATTGCTTCCATACTTGAGACAGATGTTGAATACACTTGGTAAGAATGGTTGAGCTCCAGCTTATGAGTGGGAGGTTTGCACTATGACTTGAATGGTCACTGATTCCTGATGTTCAATCAACAGCCCCAAATGAACTTATCAGGCCATTCATTGAAGATTTTGTTGCAAAGGGGTATCATAACTCTGAAATAGGGATGTTCTGGCCTGGCTTGTCAAAAATTCATGCCAGGCCAAAGCCACCAAAGCCAGCTGGCATTGGCTGGCTCTGGCCCAAGCCATGGCCCAAGCATGTAAAATATGAAATATTATGTGAGATGTGTGTTTGACATAAATACTAGGTTTCATCAATGTCAGTATTGCATTCTGAGTCATTACTGTGAGTGTCTTCAAGAAACATACCATCCTTCAACCTCAAACTTCTCACCAGACTCTTCTTTGATCTTGAACTCATCAAGTTCATCCTCAATAAGGGATGATGGCCCTGGTTCACAGAAAAGGAGGTTGTGGCAGATAGCACATTTTACACACTGAAGGGTCTCAATGTTGTCACCTTCAAGGTGATTGTGATATTTGCCAATAGTTGTCCCACCTTGAGAAAAAGTGTGCTTGCTGGAGATGGATGATGCCATAATTGACAAATAGTCTTGCATGATTGAAGACTACACTGGCTCATATCTCTGGGCATTGATTTTGTGCAAAGGAAAGGTAAGTAATATGAAACAGTGAGAAAATAGATTGAACATACACCTCACCATTGAATCACTGTGGGTGTGAGAAACTGATCAGATCTGGAAAGGGTACAAAAACACCATGTAAACAGTATGTAAACAGACATAGCAAAGAGAACTGGGAAGTAGCCTTCTAAATGTTGGGTCAAATGTGCTATGCCTAGCTGTCATATCCCACAATCTGGACCCACATTCCATCATATTCACATGCCTTCTGAGCCTACATCTGGACCCCACCTCATATCCAACTTATTCCCAGTTCTCCCTCCACTGTCTGCCCTACACCTCAGCAGGATCAGCTCCACTGTGGAATTACCCCTGAGCTCCAGACCATCAGATCTCCACTGCTAGCCTGATCTGTACCCCCCTATCCTGTCCACCCTATGCACACTCCATCTAGCAAGACATCTGGACTTCACCTCATCTTGGATTCTAGACTATATCCATCTCCTCATATCCTGGTGTGACGATCATATTCCTGCTAGGCTTGCAATGGCCATCTTTTGATATAGGTGATGGAAAGCTACAAAACCATTGACCGCTTTTCCCGCACTCAACCCACTCTGGACATGTATTCCTGTGCTCTGTGGACCTGCGCATTCACTCCCACACTGAGTGCATACCTGTGGTCAATTTCCTGCGCCTTCAGACTACCTTACAGATGTCTGCATCGGTCCATTGTCCATCCTACCTCATTGGTACATATTTTGCCTTGCCTCATGTGTTGTAACAAGTGTTGCAGTCTTATTACATGTCTTTACATATTCCTACTGCCTGTCTGTCCTGTCCCTTCTGTTTCTGAGAGGGTTTAGCTAGTATAAAGTGCCTAGGGTGACTACTTCATATTTACTCCCCTTCTACAGTAATTCCTTCCCTTAGGTTTTACTTAGGAGCAGTCACCATTAGTACGCACTTTTTAGCCCCTATTGGTTACCTTATACCTGGACACCTTGTCTTGACTTTCCTTACCTGTGCAATCAATACCCTTGCCCTCACTTGTTACTCACACCATTCCTTAAGACTTCCCTACCCCTTACCCTAGCATCTGCATCAACTGCTCATCAACTGCTCATCAACCGCACTTCCGCATTCCCGCGCTCTTGTTCCCGTGCTCTGCGCACTTTCGGGTCTTTAGTATCATTGGCCATTCTCAGTAGCAATTCCCTTTAGGGTTGAATGTTCTTGCTTGCAAGTATAGCAGCTAGGCAGAGCATCGACCTACAACAATATTTTTGGTTAGGCACTTTAACAAGTGTCTAGCCAAGTTGTGTTTGCACACTGGTCCTGTATTCACCTCATCTTCTGGATCCCCAGATCTCTGGACCTATTCCCACCTTCTGTCCAACATCCTGCACCTATCCCCATTTAGACATCTCTGGCTTTCCAGCTTTCAGTTACCTCTTGTTCTGTCTCACTTATTGATCCTTGTACAAGTCTTCATCTCTGATGTGAGTAATACAACTTGGCTAGATACTTGGTAAAGTACCTAGCCAATATGTTGGGTCTCAAGTGCTGTACCTAGCTGCTATTTGACCCACAAGGGTTTCTGTACTAGACTCAGAGCTCAGAGAGGAGAGAAATCATCATAAAAGTGCTGGTCTCAGACTACAGGTAAAGAGTGAAAGGTAAGATCCAATGCTTATATAAGCTGCAAAAATGCGAACATAAACTAAAGAAAGTGGGGGTAGGTAAAGGTAATGAAAGTAAGTAAATCTAAGCCCAAGGAAAACTTGACTGTCACACTGAGTGTTAAGGACCATGCTCAAGGGAGAGAGAGACTGACTCAGAGGGGCTTGGCCTCAGCTTGTACGCTGTGCCCCTTACCCAAGTATGTGCCCTTCATTTCAGAGGAAGTCCGATGTTAAGGTCATACTCAAGGGCTAATGGATCCTAAGGGCTTCAGCCTCAGCTTGTGTGCTGTGCCCCTTACTCAAGTATTGCCCCTTATTTCAGAAAGGCAAGACTAATGTATCCAGAGGGTTGGACAAGTAGCATAGTGGATCTGGATGACTTCTGGATGCAGGATAAGTATTGTAGGGCTAATCTGGATGAGTCCAGACTAGAAACTAACAGTAGTGGACTGTTGTAGACAGAGGTGGATACGGATAGACTATAGGAATCAATCCTAAGTCTCAGAGGGTGACGAGAGTAGAGATACTCAGGTCCAGAGGACAGGAATGAGCAGAACTAAGTTGATATTTGAACTGAGGTGTTACAGAGATTTACAGGAGGTTATATACTATAGGTATCTAATGGAATGATCAATCAGCAGGGTCCGAGGCTATGTACAAAGCATATGGATAGTCTATTGGTAAGTAGAAACAGATCACAAATCATGAAATGGAAATGAAGCATAGGTAATGGATCAGTGAGCAGGATGGATATACTGATAACCGAAATACCAGAGTTAGGGGATTACTGAAAGGAGATGAGTGCTGGTTGTGGATTCAGATGAATTGTGGACTGGACTGGATGAGTGGACAGATTGGATGATGAGATGTTGGAGGGGGATAAGATGTTGGAGGGGGATAAGATGTGGATAGGATCAGAGATAAGATGTGGATTGGATCTGAGATCCAGATATGCAGATATGACATCCAATGATGGTCTGATGAAGTCCAGAGGACTTCTGGAGGCTGGCTACTCTGGTGGAGAGTGTGGGAGGACTTCCAGAGGAGCATGGGAGAGTTCTGGAGGAATGCAGGAAGTACTCAGGAGAGTTCCCACTGCAAGGTAATACTTCTACAGGAAATAAGATGGAAGGATAGGAGGTCTGGAGGACAGGATGTCCAGAGGTACACAGGACAGGACATGGAGGTATGGAGGACAGGATGTCCGAGGGTTAGGAGGATGGAACATCTGAAGGACAGAATGCCCAGAGGTATGAGGGACAGGAGGTCTGGAGGTACAGAAGACAGGAGGTCCAGAGGTCTGGAAGGAATAGGGGCTACATTGGACAAAGTCTGATATAGAAGCAAATAGAGGTAGACTACCCTTAGGTAGAGTTGGAGAGACAGGAAGTGGACCAAAGTCTGGAGAGAGGGTAAGTACCAGAAAGGCAAGACTTTAGCCTAGGGAAGCAATCCCTAGACTTGGGACAGGGACATAGGGGACAAATCCAAAGGTCCAGAATTCCAGCCTAGGGAATCCATCCCTAGGCCTTATGGAAAAGGATGAGACTCAGATGGACTGAAGTCCAGAAGATGATTGGGCAGATCTAAGGTGATGAGGACAGATCTAAGATGATATTCAGACTGAGGACTCTACAGGAGTTGTACAGGGGTTATATACTAGAGGATATCCAAGAGGATCAGTAAGCAACAGAGTAAAGCTATGTACAAGCATGTGGAAACACATTGGTAAGTAAGACGGAACATAACTAAATGAACTCAGAGATGAAGACTTATACAAGGATCAATCAGCAAGATGGAAACAGAGATAACCAAGAACCAGAAAGGCAGAGATACCTAAATGGGGATAGGCGCAGGATCTTGGATGGAGGGTGGGAATGATCCAGAGATAGTAACAGTTAATATCCAGAGGTCCAGAGATCTAGGAATCTGGAAGGCAGGGCAAAAACAGGACTGAGATATGTGAGGTGGTGGATGTAGTCCGGAATCTGAGAGGAGGTAAAGTCTGGATGTCTTGCTGGACAGAATGTGCATAGGGTGGACAG